ACAGCAAAACTCTTTGCTTTAACATTGGAAAAGGAATTTAAGTTTAATCGCTAGATTCATGTTCTACATTATTTACTGTATAAAAAACACTTCATTTTTATAAAATACAGTCAGAAAAAAACAGCCTAAAAAAACATTGTTTATTTCCTCTTTTCAACTTGACAACTAATTAACTATTTTAATATTGAGAGTGAAAAGTGTCAAATGAACTAATAAATAAATGATTTATGACAGAGTCAAAGCAAACGTGGAAGAAGTCTTGACTTGCTGTTCGAAGCAGCCAATCAGAAGCCAGGGTTTCAGTTCTAATCCTGCCCAGAGTTCAATTGGTGAAGTTGGTATCATTTGAAATTCATTCATAGTGTGGTTCAGTCCAGGAACATGAAATAATTTATTAAATCATATCCAGTTTTTAAAATAAATTGAATGAGTTTAATTACAGATCATTTCATTAATTCTATATTTAATAAATGTGATAGAATATCTTTATGTAAATGTTGTATTTGTGTACACTCTTTTCTTCTTGTCAGTAATATAACTTAAACAGAGTCTGTAGACCGTTTGAATAGAAAACTGGTTTCTGAGTTAAAAATTCTTTCATTGAAAGACGCTGAAAGATTTGCATGTCTAATGTAGAGTCAACACTTTTTTCTTTTTAAAATATTGGCAAGCTCCATCTTTTTGCACCATCTGTGTACCTCCTCCACATACTAGAGAAATTATCTAGGGACTATTAAATTATCTAGGGACTGTCAATAATGACAAAAAACATTATTGGAATCTTTTTTCTTTTTTACTATATCCTGACAATTCATTTGCACAGAAACCAGCTTGTTCCCTGGAACCATTTGACATTTCTGATAGTCTTACCTGCTAGCTTTATAATTTCTGCAATCCAGTAGACCTTAGTGGAGAGGTTGGTGTCAGAGTTGGGCACTTCAATCCTCACTCCTTCCTCTATGTCTCCCCAGCATGTCCCCATTGGGGCCTGATGTTAACACAGAAATCAGCACAACAATATTCATTCAAGAGAGTTCAGCTCATGGCTCTCCAGTTGATATTCAGCTGTAACTTACATGCTTAAAACAGCTAACGGGAGCTCCCACCGTGTTACTGCTGCAGATATACCTTCCCCAGTCAAAGCTCTCTGCAGGAACGACTAGGAAGGTCCAGGGAAGGTGAAGGTCAAGCTACAACTCATACATTCATCAAATACAATCGATGCTTTATGCTGACTTACCAGATTTAGACTTGGATTGGTTCTGTTGGCTTGCTTGGTACTGGGCATAAGCTGCCAACTTTGCCATAAGAGGCTGTTTCTGCAAGACTTTAGCCTTCTTTGTCGGAGGCTTGCCCTAGTGGAACGAAACGAGCCAGGCATCAGCGTCAGTGAACTGAAATATTAGGACTTGGTAAGCTCCTAATCTAGATGATTTACCTGAAGTCGTGCGAGAATGCTAGCTTTTTTTGAATTTGAGGAATAACTCCTGGAACAGGAAACGCTGCAGAAGCGCTTGGTTTTGGAGTAAAAAGCATCTCGAACACCAACCATTCCACACATCTCACATGTAGCTGGAGAGATCACAAAAGAGATTACCTAAACGTTTAATTCAAGTGGGAAAGTTGAAAACTTACATCAGAGTAATATATATATATAACTAATAACTGCCATTGCAATAGATTAGACCAAGCAGGTGAGTATAAAAACTAAGGCATCCCCTTTTATAATGCAAATGTCAGACCAAATATGTGAATGAGTAGCTAAAACATGACCCTGACAGGAGAAATGTTCATGGAAACAAAGCTGTTGGTTCCCAGTTCAGTTGCTCTAAACTGTGGAAGCGTTATGGACCCTTTCCATAAGTGTTTAAAGAGAGACAATTAAAATAATTCTAACTCAAAACAATAAATGCTTAAGAAAAGAGGTAAACAACCCAAGTGATTCCCGTCTAGAAGTGCCATTTCAATATCATGTTTTGTCAAGATTCTCAAACAGAAGGCAAAAGAAGCCGTTGTTATGTACTGACCCATCCCAGCTTTGCCATCAGGGTAGGTGTAGACCTGTCCGTTGTTCTTGATGATGGGCAGATTGGCTGGGATGGAGCGCACAACGTCATCCTCACTGTCCTCTGAGCTGGAGCTGCTGGTGGACTCCTCGCTGCAGCTGTCGTAGCCATCAAACATCCCGAACGAGTCCCGGCGCTTCCGCTCTGAACGTGCAGTGCGCTCAGCCTTGACAGGAAAAACAGCAAAGATTAGAGGACAAAAAAATGTCTACATAAATATTACACATACATCATGACCCGTAAAACAGGCCCACCAGTTTTAGTTGCGTGATTTGTAATGCATCATTGTTGAATGATTACCTTCAAGCAAAATACAGACAGGTTACGGATTTTAAAGTCAACCAAGGATGCATGAAGACACATTTGCATAAAAATACCTGCTGGAGTAGGAAGTATATTTATTGCAGTGCAAATTCTGAGATTTTCTTTAGTTTTGCAGGTTTTGGATCAAATAATAAAAATAATTCCCAAACTTAAAGTTGAGGCACCAATGACAATATTGACATCAATTGAAAATACAACAAAAATAAAACTATTTGCTAAAGTCTGTGATAACTAAGTTATACCAAATACATTTTGATGCACATGGGAGCCTATTATTAAAGCATGTCAATTGCACAATGAAATAAATTTGTGAAACACCCACATCTATATCTTTTGGACTGTTAACAGCCAGAAACAAACTGTCAACATGGTTGTTCCTGATAACCACAGTTCAAGTTTTTCCAAGTGAAGCAGGTGCAGCTGATGAATATTCAAATGATTTCGATTAAAAGAAAATCAATATAGAGTAGCATGGAAATAACTATTAGTGCATTTCACCAAAACAAGATATTGGCATTGAAGGTTATTAAGAGATATTTCTGTAAACGTTTAGTTTCAGCAGTTTTAAAAATAATGTAGTTTAATTTAACCAGTGTGGTGAGGTTTGTACTATTTAGACAAGGGGCAGGTAAAAACTAATCAGTTTGCTAAACCACTAATGGCAACTGGACAGGGACAAACAGTGCATCAGTTCAGTCTTCCACAAAGTCAGACCCTCATTTCATACCCAGGTTTTGCCAATCTGTCCTTTACCATTTGTATTTTATTAACCAACCCATTTGTACACAAAAAAAGACTCAAAAATGATTAAATCTCTTGTGCAATTGCATTGACTCTGGATTAAACCACATTACTTTTTTGGGGAGAGAGCTACATCGACATGTGGCAGGAGGAAGCTGGAATCGAACCTCCAACCTTCTGATCACGAGAAGACTACTCTGCCATACAGCCACAGTCACCATTTCCAACAAAAGTAGGAAATGGCAAAGGAGCTTTGCAAAAAGGGTGCCATTACTGTGTAGATAAGTAATTGGGCAAAGTTTGAGCAATGTGTTTATGCTTGGATATAAAAAAATATGTAAGGAACCAATAAATTATTTTAAAGATAGATAAAATAATTGACCATCGTGCGTTTTAGCAGTTTCAGTTTTTATATAGAATGACACAGGACCAGAAATATTATTTTAGATGTTTACCTTAGAGCTAGATTTAAAACCATGTCTTTTTTTAACACTCTGCTCAAGTAACATGCCGTGGAAAAAAATTTATTCCCTTTGGCAAAACGTTTTTTTGTTGTTTTTTTAATTCTATAACCTACAAATAACAATAAAAATAGTGATACTTTATAAATAGCATATTTTCTACAATAGATGTTAAAATCATGCATTGTCTTTTATCAAATGGTGAATTGCACTTCTAAACGCAACTTTCTAAATTACTAGACAGAGGTCAAACATTACTTTTTGGACTGTCAAGGTTGAAGGATCCTGATGTGAAAGTTTCAAGTTATTATTCTACTCCTCATGGAGAATAAGAGTTTAAAATTCAAAATAGTTTAAAAATCATAGTTTGACTTTACATCATTAAATGATGAACATAGCTTCACATTTTAAGTAGACAATTTGAGATATTTCAATATTGACCAAATAATGTAATCAAGCCTTCAAGATTAAAATTAAACTGCACTGGTTTATACTGCATCTGTTTGGTCATTCCTGCTCATCATAAAAATCTTGCGTCCTTGTTCTATATATTTAGAAAGATGTTTTGAATCGCAAGTCGATTCAAACACCTGAACAAATTTCAAGCATTTACTCCCATCAAAACATTCCTACTTCCTCTTCAGTTTATTACAGGTGGAATTTGAGCCCAATAAAACATACAAAGATGCTGGGGAAATGATCCTGCCAGCAATTAGTCTAAATAAAAATATATATGAACAAAACAGAAGACTGCAACATTTAAGAAAAAAAAGGAAAAGAAACAAAAATAAGAGGAACTTTGAAACTAGCCTGTTATGCTAGTTCTGTCGAGAAGCACTAGCACAACTAGCTAGCGGAAATCGTTTTTTTTTTTATTTCTTTCGCTAAAGAAGCAGTTTTCATTGCGTTAAAATAAAATGCATAAATTTGTCTGTAAAGTTGAAGTCAATCTTGATCATTTTGGTTATACCACAAAGCTTTTGTGAGCGCTTTCAAATAAATAACGCTGTCAAAAGCATTAGCTTGTTAGCGTAACCGATAACAACAAAGGAGGAGCGCTAACTCAGGCCCAAACATGTCTTAAAGTCACTCACCAAATCCCGTGCGTCTTCCATCAGCCCCTCATATAGAAAACATTTATCTTAGCTCTTCTTCTTGCTGTAAATTAAACTCCCGCGCTGTGGATAAAGCTGACTAGAGAATACGAAGGTCTAAATGAATACTAGTGAATAGGATATCAACAAATTACTCTGGCCCAACTGCGCATGAGTGAGCGTAACCTACTTTTCTTTGATTGGTCAATTCCGAATGGAGGTCATCGACAGATTCACAAACAAAACAGAGAAGTCTTTAAAGGAAACGAATGAATGGACGCCACAATTTAATCATAAACCGATGAAACAATGAGGAAAGAATATTATTTTATTGCATTGTGGTTATTATTCAGTTTACTTTAGAAATGTGCAATGAAAATAAAGGTACAATCTCTGTCAAATAAAATAAGTTATTTATTGTAATATAGGTCAATATAATATTTCTCTGAAGAACAATGTTTTATGGCAATGAACCACTTCATGTAACCTTTTGTTTAAGTGAACTGACTCTGTTCATTAAGCAATAATGCCTGACTTCTTTTCAAAAATATTATATGAACTTTAATATATTTAACGTATATAATAAACAAACAAAATAAACGCCTCAACCATTTTCCTTTAAGTAACCACTAAATCTCACAACAGTGCATTTGAAGAATCTTAAACACAAATTTCCCAAACTTTTTCAGGCACAGCAGCACAGGGTACAAGAACCCTAAAGCAAAACAAGGAACTGAAAATGGTTGGACAAACAATGTTGCACTCGACACGTAGGGAAGGCTCCATGTTGGGGATTTAAGCGCTTATACACAGGACAAACATTCTTGCTCCTACTGTTCATACAACATGGACCAATGCAAAAGAGTGCGTAGTTAAAGCCAGAACACAGGAGACATAATGTCATCATTTTCAACGGATACAATGTTTTAAGTAGCAAAAAAAGAATCCCTTTATGTATCGGTTTGGTCTCAGAGCAGTTCATCTTCTACACCGTCATCCACACTTCCTGAGACTGAAGCAGCTTCTGAGGGACAAAAGACAAACATGTCAGAAGTCACATCCCATTAATAAGAGCCTGTCTGCCTGTGACATTTCTGAAGCTGAAAACTGCATCTGAAGCATTTTCCACCTAACAAGACAAACAGCACTCATCAATTACACGCCTTTGAGGGTGTTTAGAAAACATACATTCTCATATTTTCCCAGATTTAAGTTTCTAGGGTTTTGTCCTCATGTGGTAACTTAGAACCTGCTTGAATAATATTCTCCATGAAATAAGAAAAAATAACCACAATACAAGTTTTCATCTCAAACACAGAAAGTAATCACCTGAACACAGCAAGATTTTGGGTTTCAGTGGTAAACATAGGATTTATTCTGAATACCATATGAGCTGTTTACAGACTCTGGTTAGTGTATTTTGGTGTATGTGTATATGTGTGTATACATACACTCCTCTTTACACCTCCCTCTAGTTTTTCCACTCACCTGACAAACTGATACATGACAGACTGAGCTCTGAAGTTGCTCCTAACACATCATCCTGCAAGGAGACAGCAAATCTATTTGAAGATGTTTTCAAATAGTCAGGTTTAAAAGAAATGTAGTGTAAGTTCATGTTGGGCCATGAAGCCCACAACTGATCTAGGAGTGAAAAAAACAACAACGAAAAACATGCCAGTTCTTGTAAAACCTCTGGAGACATTTAAGTTTAATTCACACCTTGTTTTAAAGACTCACCAACATCCTTTGCAAACAGCCTAGATTGTCGCCTCCTGCCTTCTCATCAAATCTTTCCTGGAAGCTGACAGCATGGCCCAGGCGTATGAGCTCCTCACCAATATCCACAGCCTAAATGAAACAGATTTAACATTTTGTTTAAATACATGTTTCAAACAAAAAGAAGTCCACATCTTGGTCATTTCACCCTTTCATATTTAATACCTTTCAATTTTAGTCTTAAAGTACTATTGTTTTCCTTTTTGAAATGGTGCTGTCAACTGTGGAATATTTTGCACCAACTATCATCTACTTGTATTATACTTACTCACCTACTTTGAAAATAGTAAAAGTAATCTAACTAAGGAAATGTCCCCCTCTGACTAATCATTACAGTAATATTTAGTATGTTAAAATTAAGACTCTCTTCAAAAACTTTGAAATCAAATTCAGATATTTGATCTACTCCTCTCCATTCCTGCTACTGGGTCTCATGATTCACTAAAAACATGTTCCTTTGAATATTTGGCTGTTGAGGTGAAGGCACATGTTTTAAGTGGCTCACTTAAAATGTTTGGTTTGACTCAACATGTTAAAACAGTCAATACACAAATTGGGGCATACATGTATTTGATCATCAGTAAAGGTTTTTGAAACTGATGTCGACCTATCTGACCATTTTTTTGTTATTTCTGAAAACATCATTTCTACTGACCCATTGAACCAAAGAGCTGTTTCAGTGAGAATAGGTTTTTTGTTCAACTGGGGAAGTGAAAGTTTACTCTTTCACCTCCAACGTCCATCCTAAAATGTCAAATATCATAGATTCCTTTGCTTCCATTAAGTGACAGTTGACTCTGGTAGGAAGAAATCATGTAAAACATGCTGAATAGCCCTCTTGCTATAATGTGATGTCAAAATAAACTTACCTTGTTTTTGTGAAATATAATAACCTAACATATAAGCAAGGTGAGTAACGTAATACGTTACTCACCTTGCAGTAACGTATTACGTTACTGCATCTAACTAATTCGGTTAGCTCCTAACCGAATTAGTTAGATGCATCTAACTAATTCGGTTAGTTTTGCATCTAACTAATTCGGTTAGCTCCTACATAATAATAATTAATTTGCATCTAACTAATTCGGTTAGCTCCTACACTCATGAAAACATTAAGACACCTTGTTACATCTTCAGTTCTTCGTCAACAAATGTTGCAGATAATAGTTTTAATTTATCTTTGGATAACAATTTATTTAATTGTACTTAGCGACAAATTAGGGTTGCACAGTGGCAAAGTTGTTAGCACTGTTGCCTTGCAGCAAGAAGGACCTGGGTTCGATTCCTGGCCTGGGGTCTTTCTGCACGGAGTTTGCATGTTCTCCCTGTACATACGTGGATTCTCTCCAGCTTCCTTTTACCTAACCAATTTACCTGTCAAAATTCTCCCTAGGTGTGTGTGTGTGTTTGGTTGTTTAGTCCTGTTTGTTTCTATGTTGCCCTGCGACAGACTGGTGACCTGTCCAGGGTGAACCCCGCCTCTCGCCCAGAATGCAGCTGGTAGCTGGCACCAGCAAGTCCCTTCCCCACTAGAGATAAGGGTGAATGGATGGATGGATGGATTGCAACAAATTACCTAACAGGCTACAGCTGAAAAAAAGAACAAATGTCATCAATCTCTAAAAACTTAAAAAACAAATGAACACTTTAAAATGTAAACTTTAGCAAATTGCATACAATGAAATTCAATAATATGTGAAATTAGAGCCTTTTTGTTTATCTTCATAATTTATGAAAATAAACTAACCACAAAAAAAAAACTTATTTAGTAACATTGGTGCAACAGAGCTAAATGGCAATGTGTAGATTTGAAATAAGTGAACTAATTCACAAATGGATTAACTGGTCTGGATAAATAAAACATAAAAAAGGAACCAACCTTTCCTTTGCTGTTGTCATACAGCTTAACACTGGGCCAGGACGAGGCTTCGGAGTGAGAGTAACTGCAGAGTTTGGCCTGTAGGGGTCTCCAGTTAGCACAGTATGCCAACTGTTCAAATATGTCCAGAGCTGCTTCAGTCCAAGCCTCTCCTGAATGACAAAACAGAAACATGTCTTTAGACACAGCATCTATAGCCACGTCTGTAGTCAATGTAAAAGAGAATAACAAGAAGCATTGTTTTTTTTATATTTAAACCTCAGACATTGTGTGAGATGAGACATAAACTTTTGTTCTGTCCGACATAAAAATGACCAGTTTTAGCTTAGTTAGGATTACCTACACTACACTTGCTAAACGTCTGATATTTGACAAAGAATTTTAATAATTTTTTAAAAAGTCATAAATTTGACATGTTCTAAGGTGCCAAAAATCTGAGAAAACCCAGACAATGATGTCATGGCTTTGCAAGACTCTGATACTTTAATTCACAACGTCTGAGTCAAATGGAGGCCTTCTTGTGGATGGATAAAGAAAACATTGAACCAACTGCCCAACATATCAGGCTGAAAGTTAAAGTTTCGACAAAAATGGGTCTTTGAAATAAACAGCAATCTTCAGCATTCCACCAGATCACCAACAAAGTGGCTTATGAACAACAAAGGCAAAATTGTTGTTAAATTGTAACATTTGACCCAAATATTATAATTTAATACGGTAAATCTTCCAAATACTGATAAAACATGTGGAAACTTTGGAATATGAAGAGACATTTGTTGTAAAAAAAAAAAAAGTTCTCCTTCTCATTCCTTCATTTAGGAAAAAAGAATATGTTGGTTGTCCTAACTGAAGATAGTCTGAATTGATGTCAGACAAAAAGGTTGTAGGTCTTTTCATATAATGTATATAGAAATCTGGCTTCAACTGTGTGTCTGTGAATGTAATTCTAATTGGGGTGAATGTTTTACCTTTTGGCCTCACTCCTGCTAAGCTGCATTCAATAGCTTGGAATGGTAAGCTGAGGAAGTCACTCCTGGAATTTTAGTGGAGCAAAAGCAAGAAGCTGTTATTAAGTTTTGAAGCAGGTGCTGCATGCGAATGTGCTCTTGGCAGCAGCTGTGGAGCACAGGACAAAAACTTGGCTGAGTTAAAGCGCCCTGCAGGAAAGCGGAGACATGAAAGTTCACTGCACTTCAATAAAATCCATTTCTCTTACACAGCAACAAATGATGCTCCAGATGTAAAGAGGCAATATTATGCATTTTCCACAAAGTGCAGATTTACAGCACAAACAAGTAACTAAGTTATCTTCAACGGTTATAAAAAATATGTATGTATCAAATATGACTGCAAAGAAATGTGACTTTGTAATTTAACACCTGGAAATTGGCCAGGCCACCTTCAGGAAGTCATCACAACATGGCTCCTCTATTAACTCTTTAACAATGTTCTTTACCAGCGTTGCTCTGAGAAGTAGCTTTTATAATGAGCTCAGCAGATGTTCAGTTCCACCAGGTGTTTTCTAATTTCTGCTAGTCTGAAGGAGCTGAGTGGGGGAGCTGTGAGGGAGGACTCTGTGAGGTGGTAGCTTAGAAACTGCAGCTCTGATGAGGAGCTCAAAGGTGGCTCTATGTCCAACCAAGTGTTTTGCAGAACTGAATGATTGCCAGGGAAATTAAAGGATTACAAAAGAATCAAGACAATCCTTTTGAAAGGATTAACATTATTATATGATGGAAAGCTCAAACACATTGACTTTACATAATACTGCCCCTTTCACATAATTATGACACATCCCTTGAGTTTCTTGTAGCAAACCCGAGTAGATTATAATGCCTTGCATTTCTGCAACCCTATCCCCATTGTCTACAATGAAAAACAAATCACTAGTCTGGTCACAGATTCATGGACAAAGCAAATCATCCCAAAGCCATCAACTTTACTAAACTATCATTAGTAAAGTTAATTTTAGTAACTGCTTATAACTTTTCATTTATGTAAGCTAGAAACAGTTTTTATATTACAATTAAACTTTCTCTTCACTTACAATTATTTATTTGTCATTAATTATACTTTTACACTTTTGTGATTGAATACAGCAAGTTTTGAACATTTACAAAATCAAAACCTCTAGCCTGAGTGAGAGCTAGCAAGACATTCAGGACGCTGTTACAGCGTCCTGAATGTACTGAAGTTGTTAAATGGAAATTGCAGCTCCACATCTTTGGGAAGAAGCAAAATATTGTTTAAACAATGTTCACCTGTACTCATCAAAACAGCAACTTGTGTTGCAGTTTTATGTTTTCAGCATTAAGGAAAAACGAAGAATTCTTCATTAACTCACCTGCCTTTAAGCTCAGTGTCAAAAAATATTGCTAGAAGAAAGTGAACCAATTATTTTGGATTTTTTTAAGAACAGATTTTCATATGAAGCTGGCTAAACATGCAATTTGAGCTTCATGTATTTTCCATTATTAAAATGTATTTTTCCGTTACTTGAGCTCCTAAGATTGCAAACATCTCACTGACAGGTCCTGCAGGCCTGATAGCTTCCGAGGTAACTAACTCTTATGTAAAAGGTTACTCTTTTGCAGATTAATTCATTTATTGTGTGGATGCCAATCACAGATTAAGGCTGATCACTCTGACTGTATTGTTGCCCATCTGATCAAATTGGGATTGCTAAATGCATATTTGCACAATTTGTTGTGACAATTACATGGAAACTAGAGTCAAAAATGCAGCAATAACACAATATTATTATGTTGATTTGTATTTCAGTAAAACAAATATTTTATCTTCCATCCTAACTGATTTAGTAAGCACAGAGGGAAGACAATTGTTGCAGTTGGCCAGAATTTTGGTAGGATGCTCCACTCCTCAAATATTTTTTCCAAACCATCAAAACTGTCTCTTGGCAACTCAATATCTCAGCTTCTTCAGAATATTCTCTCCAAGATAGAACTCAGTTTTTTCTACAGTCACTGATTTGTTAGCTTAAGAAACCCCTCTGTATTGTTCTAGAGGCCCTGGTTCTGTAACGGTGCTAGCATCCATGAGATCACTACCAAGCTCTTCCCATGGAATTCAGGTTGAGTATTCACCTTTCTCAGAATCATCTTCAAGATCCAAGGTAAGCTTCAGATTGAGGAAAATTAACAGTTATCTTGTAAGTCTTAAGTCTCTTTCTCACCAAACTTAAAAGCTGACGGTCTGTAAAGGATCAGGTAGGTGATCATTCATTTCACTTAATGATGTCCAAATCAGTTTAGAGCCAATTTTTAAAGCTTAAACAAACCTTAAAAAAAGTTAAACCTATAAATTCAGCTGGGAAGCAAATCATGTTTGTTCCCTCTAGTGAAAAGTTCACCTTACAGTCATGGCATCTCTTACCTGAGGGGACGCAGGCTGTCTCTGGAAAGCTCTCCGTTGTCCCCGAAGTCTACATAGTAAAGGTCCACTAGTCCAGATCCCAGAAACCCCAGCACCCTGGCCCTGTTCCATGTGTTATAGTCTCGATACGGAGCAGCCACAATGTCTCCAACCAAAATGCTATCCATCCGCTGCTCCTGCAGACCCACAACACCAGCTGCATTAACGTTTATTTAACAAATGCATGTAGACAGTTCTGGTGTTCCAGGCCTTTCTAGACCTCGGCTGTATAAAATCTGGTCCCTTAGGCATGAAGACTTCTAGAAACATTTACAAAAGAATAAGTCAATTTAGGAGCTCAGTTAGCCAGTTAGTTCAGTGGTTTAAGTTTCACACTAGTAAATATTCTAATCAGCAAATAGTGACAGGAAAACAATGTGTACAGCAAGCAGTCACAAAGTGGTGGGTCGGGTCGGGCTGACACTGGAAGGGTCCCTGGAGAGACTATTCATGGTACTCTGTCTTCCATCGTTGGATGGAAGACAAAGTAACAGCACATCTGACTAAATTGTGTTAGAGGGGAAATATAATGCAATTTTATTTCACGCTTTTGTTGTGTACTTTGAGTGTCTAGGACTGCAGAAAGATTCTATTTAGTGTCTCCCAGAGCTGTGTTTTCTGTTTTTTTCTGTTTCCTTCCATTTTTAGAACTATTATGTCACAGTATTTGCTTTATATAATCTGTAAATCTAATTTGCCATTATTTATTATAAAACAACTAATATATATATACAATCCACTCTTCATATTCCTGTATATTTCGTATATGCTGTGTAACTTGTATAATATGTACATATCTCTCATATTTGTATTTATATTTGTACAAAACATTTTATTTATAGCACATCAATATTATTCTCTGTTTATATCTTTGTACAACTGTTTATAAATATTTATATACTGTATAGCACTTCTGGATAGATGCAAACTACATTTCGTTGCTTTGTACATGTGACAGTGCAATGACAATAAAGTTGAATTCTAATCTATTCTGGAACTTCAAAACAAGGTCATGGACTTCCAGCTAAGCAATTTCTTTTCTTTTGTAGTCCAAGCTCCAAGATGCTGAAGCTACAAGTGGATGAGTTAAAACGTAGCTCGATTCATCATACCCCCAGCATCACAGTCTTCAAAGTGCATGGTTAAATAGTACTCGTTTCTTGATCTTATTGTGTTTTTTATTACTATGGAAATGACAGACACTGCAGAACAGTGAGCTGCAAACTTCATTTGACAAATAAATTTATTATGTTATAATGTCCTGCTCCTTGTTTTCATAGCAGTAACATTTTGCTTTCTGTTGGTGTAGTGATCTTTGGAAATACACTCAAAAGACATGAATGGGAACATGGCTAGAGCTGCAAAGAAGCTACTGTCAACAGTACACCACCAGTTCATAACAACTGATGCTTCTTCAATGAACTGCAAGCTTTACCTTTGACCCATAAAGTGTGACGTGATTAACTCCGCACATGTACTTACTGTGGGGTTTTCATTTGTGTAGAAGTTGTTCATCTCCTCTGTCAGCTTGTCCAGCTGGAGGGAGCGAACGCCCAGAATCTGGATCCAGAAGTGGTTTGGGTTTTCTGATGCAGACACATAAACCTCTAAGTGTTCATCAGGCTGGAAGCTCAGGTCTGGACTGGGAACTGGGGCACACAGAAGAAATCAAAATCCTTTGTGTCAAACAACTGGAGTCAAATCGAAACTAATACAGATAGAGTTGCTGAGACATGATTAAAGTAAGCTGACTTTCAAACTTTGACACTTCTGAGAGTGTATCTGTGGACACGCTGCTCTCCTCTTCCTGCTCATCTGTGCCTTTCAGCTCCTTCATCTCCAGAAGTAAACATTCAGTTGTGGGTTCTTTGGACTGAACAAGTCCATTCTTCTCCGTGTGGGATACAGGGTCGTTGTTGTTCAGACCAATGATGCATTTGGGTTCCATGCAGTAAGGATCAGGATTCACGACTTTATGTCCACGTTTCTGGCGAAGGGCAGATGACTGCGAGATCTTTGACCTCACCACTGCATCCGCTCCAACTCTTTCTAGAATCATCTCCTGCAAAAAATATGGCAGTGAGTCTAACTCTACATAAAGAGTTGGATTTATAAAATCCAAATGAATCGTTCACCTTAGCCTGCTTGACCTCCTGTTTGCTCCCGGTGATGGTCACACTGCCCTTTCCTCCAGGGCTGTGCTTTTTTTTTCTGGAACAAACTATTCTGGCTCCTGTGCTTCTTGTGATTAGTTTCAAACCCTCACCACCACGTCCTGTAACACACACAGATACATGCACACACGCGCACACATGTACACACATATGTACACACACACACAACTACTAGTTGCAAAATATTCAATAAAAGCAGGCAACTGTAGCCTGTAGGATTCCTTGAGGTTTCATACTCGGCCGATTATTGTTTGCATTTTCTATACTACACCTGAGCAATATTATTGAGACTTTCAATAAACTCTTAGCAGTTTTATGTCAGTGTCGTTCTGCTGTGCCTGTTTCTTAAACCACATCAGTTCAAAAACGTATTGTATTGATCATGTTGTTATTGTATTGACTAACTCAGACAAAAAAAATGGTGACCTACTAGTCATCTTTTTTTAATTCTAGTAAAACAATAAATGCAGCCCTATCTAAAATACACTTCCATAACAGTCACATCTACAAACTCCAGCAACAATATAATAAATGCTCACAAAGATGATTCACCAAAATTAGCCACTAGCTACTTTCCAACAGCAGACCATGGAAATTGGGTTACCCAAAGTCTCATCTGTAAAGGAAAAAAGGTCCTAAGAAAAACAAGTTAACTCTATAAAAGAGAGTACCTATAACACGTCCAAAGGCATTCTGAGGAACCTCTACAACCTCCACTGTTGGCTCAGAGTCCATAGCCAGGTTCTCCAGGACACAGCGGGCCAACAGGATCTGCTCCTTTGAGCCCTGCATCTGGACAAGCACAGCGGCCTTATGGCCAGTTTCCTCCGAGTATGACGCAACTCTCACATGAGCTCCAGACTTCTGGCTCACCTACAACAGAAACAGAAAGAGGCAGGAGTTTACCGAGTGGATGAACCACTGTGTCCCAGAGACACGTACCAGATAAAGGGTAAAACATGACAACGGTGTTGTTCAGTTTTGAGAAAATAACAAGCCACGGTCCTGTCCACACGGAGACAATTTTAGGAGTATCCACAAAATGTTTTTTGCTGTTTAGGCCGAGCGTCCACTTGGATTCAGCGAGACCAGAAACAATCATTTATGAAACCATTGCAGTTTCATGCTCTTCTACAATGGCATAAAACTGCCATTGCTAAACGGCGGTTTCATCTTTCCTGGTGGCCAGGTCTTTTTTTTTTCTTTTTTAAACATTGATGTTGACGTTCCGTCTAAATCTCTAACACTTTCACAAATAACAAATATGGTGCAGTTCTGTCCATGCTACATCACCACCTAATACATTGTTGTTGTGCGGCGCTGCATCCTGTCATGTGTATACATTTTTTTTTTCTTAACCATTTACAAAGATATTCCATGCTTGTCTCTGTGTGGAGAGGGTTTAAATCTATTCTGGGGCTGGTAATGAAAATAAGTGTAAACAGCTCTGCTCAGGTTTGAATCAAGACTCCAAAATAGAGTTTAGATCAGGCCTAAAAAACATAAACTCAACCCAGTCAGAGCCTGCAGTCATTGTGTTCGAGTCCAGTCCAATCCAATCCAACTAATTAACCTTTAATTAATTAAACGCCAAAGTAAAGCCGACATATTTTAATTACAATTTTATTGCTTTCATTTTTAGACAACCATTTGAGTAAGCAACTCCTGTTTATAGCTTTTGTTTAACATCTTCCAGCTCTATTTTGTCGCTTGGTGTCACTGCAGGGTCAGACAGGTGCAAATGATCAAGGATGTGTGACTGACAGGATTCTATCACCGCCGCGCTTGTTGTAGTGTGACCAACTTTTCCACCCGACCTACTTTCTTTATTTTCTGATTAAAGCAAACTACCTAGGCTTCTATTTACACTATAAAAAGTAGACTCCTTAAAGGCAAAATAAGATGAACGAAGGTGTGAACTACATACCACATCCAGAAATGTAGCATGGCATCTGGAGATGTTTCTATACACTTCTATAGGAAGAATCATTTTGGACTCCTCAGCGTCAGGCTCCTGACCTGTCAGAACATCAAAAAATAAAAAATACTTAGTGGTTGATTATTCATTCATATGCGTTTGTTTCATAACAGCACCAACTTACTGCTGCTGGCGTTGCTGATGTGGCGATAAACAATGTAGCCTATCGTAGCTCCAACAGACAAGCCTGCAGCAAGAGCTACCATCTTTCCTCTGGGTCCGTCCTTCACAGCATCCATGACGTAGCGCACACTCTGCGGGATGCTACACCTGAGACAGGACACAAGGGCATTAACAGCTCTCTCCTTTCCAGCAGTTTCTCATGGCATGTTCAGTTTAGGGGTGCACCGACTGCAATTTTCTGGCCAATCACCAATCTTTAAAACGTCTGACCTGCAGATTGTGATTTTGGCTGACACCAACTTTTTTTAAATAACTGACACTGTCTGGCATAAAAACGTCACAATCCCCTTATTATCGGCACAATATTATCAGCATGGTATTGGTATTGGCTGATATTAGCTGTAAATTTTAATATCTGACATCGGCCATTCCATCAAAATAACTCACCAATATAAAAGGCATTGTGACTAACCAGTGGCAATGATCCCTGCAGCACAGCACAACGTCAAATTTGCACCTTTTGAGGGTCGTCATTGTCATGTGTAAATTTGACATTAAACATAATGCAAGTTGAAAGTCATTTTAGCCTCCTTTTTAGCTTTTGAATTTGGTAGCAGGCTAAATTGACAAAGATGACACTACTTTAATTCCACAGCTGAGAAAGCCATACAGTTTCAGTATGTAGGTATAGGAAAAAAATATTGTTATTGGCCAAGTGAGTTTTAGTGTATCGGCATATCAGATCCCTAAATCTACTTTCAATGTTCCAATCTACACAAAATAGTATCCATGGAGCAATATAAACTTGTTTTAATCCCACTAGTATTGAAACGTTTAATCAGAATCATTGTAATGATTAGATTATTGAAATAATCGTCAGCTAATTTAGTAATTGCTATTTGCTAAAAGAACAACACACTTGGAGCAGTAAGTCAAATCTGTTAAAAAATATATACATCTTACATTTGACTTAAAAAAACACATGGCTGATGGAGCTTCACCTGGTTCAAGTTCTGGAAATAAAAAAGTATTTTGCTCTCCAATTCTGAATTGGTTAAGTCCAAAAATAAAAATAATTTTAAAAAATGATACAATTTTAATGATCCAAAAAAATCATCACCAGATCAGCCTACACAGTATTGATGTTAAGACAAGCAGAAAAGACTGAGTTTCCTCATTTTTTCCTACAAATTATCAAACAGTCACAAAATGAAATGCTATTATTGCACTTTGGGCAATAATATGTTTATTTTCTTATTTGAAAAAAGTTACTACTAAATCAAGTAAGCTAAAAAAAAAATCTGTGACTTGGGTCTTTTTTTTTTTTTGCACAACAGGTTAGGTAGACTGCAGGTCTGTTTGGAGCATCTTACCAAATATAAAGTGTACAGAATTATTTTGCTACAGAAATCACAATGTTTGAGGTCGGATGCCGACAATTAAATATAAGAACAATGTCTCCATGTTGGCAATGGTTGGGTGATTATTGTTAAACGCACATGTGCAAATGTGACCTGGTGGACAGGGGGCGGGGGAAGTCTATCAGTCAGCGGAGCCAAAGAGGACACTGGCTGATTTTTAGACCTGTGCAGAAATAGAAAAGATTGACTTCACATGTAAATATCCGCCCTATATTGAGGAAAGCATGGCCAATCTATCGGTGCATCCCTAATTTAGGTTTTCTTATTAAAAGTGTTAGTTGGAGTCAAGGAAAGTCTTTAGCGTTTGTCTTTGATGAACAGCTCTGCAGCAGTCATGCAGCAAAGAAAAGGAAGTAGCAGCAAGCCTGAATTCAAGCAGATCCACTATGGAACAATGTCACAAACTAAACACTGCTGTTCATTTTACTCTCAGCAAGAGTCTACTTCAGGAAACATTTAATATTACTAAAGTGTCCATTTTCACTTCATGACAATCTGTTAAAAAAATACAAACTGAGCACAAACAATCACAACAATACAACAACATCCTCTAATTTAACAATTAGTTTCTGTGATACACAAACACTAACACGCACACACACTGCTTGTAGCCAAGCCATTAACTACAGCCCCCCTGACCCTGACTGCTGCATGAAAAGCACCAAAAGCTGCTACAGGTTCATGCTGTTCACTTTATTCAGTCAGACATTCCAACAGTTCGCTCCATGCATTGTGTGTGTTTTCTTAATAATGCTTCAAGCTGAGCAAAGTGAGATGAGGAGCCAACACTTAGAGCAGTGAGGGGTAACAAATGACTCCAGATCACACAGCACCACCATGCACAAAGGCCTGTCTCACTTGGAGAGGAGGGCTTGGGAACTGTAGCTGACAAACACACGGGACTTGGACACACCAACGTCCATCTCAGTAGAATTCAGACAAAAACAGAGTGTCTGCAACTCCAGCGTTTCTTTGTCATTTAAGATCAGAAGCAGTGACAGACAGGCAGAAGGAGAACAACATTTAACTAATGGCAGCAGCTGAGGCTGGACACCAAGTAATAAATACAGGATCACTGTGTAATTCATCTATATCATTTGTTTCACTTAGTAATGAAGTTTCTGAAATAAATGGACTTTTCAATCATATTCTAATTTATAACATGGGTCTATAAATACAGAAAGAATTTGTGGAGACACCCAGTAAAAGCTGATTTTTTTTAATAACATACAGGGCCTGTGAAACTTTGATATTTTACTATTTTGTTACACTTAGAAATCAATAATGATCAACATAATTTGGCTTTCACGATAAAAAGATCCTTCATTCCAAAGTGAGAACTGATTTCTACAAAATAATGAAGGTTAATGTATTTAACATAACTGACAGAAGAAATACTCTTCCCACCACTTTAAAGTAACTGACCTAATTATAAGTTATGGATCACTTTTCTTCATGTTTAAATTTTGGGTAACTAAAATATTTTCATGTCTGTGAGTATTTAAAGAAGCATTGTAGATTATTTCAAAACAATTTTTAAAATCATTTATATGCTAAAACTGTGTTGTTTTTTGTTGCCTCATGGCACCATTGCGCAGTTGGGGTCGTTTTGTTCAGACAATATTACTGCAGTGCATTAATATGCAGTTGATTACAAAATCATTATAAAACTCATTTTAACAGGAGATGGATGCAAGATCATTTCATGGACAACAGGTGCATGGTTCATAAATTGGGGTCATTCCCAATGAAAACATAAGGGACCCCTGTACAACCATTATTTCATTGTTCGTTTATCCTCAAAACTAACTTCATTCTCAAAGGGTGATAAGCTGGTCATCAATGAACAAATGGCCCTATTCCAAGGCAGGTAAAGCCTGAAGCAAAAAACAAAAATATGGGGCTGCAGGGTACTTCATGTGGCTAGTGCAGATAGTGTTCCTAACAACTTGAAAACCTGCACAGGGCGAGTCGTGCAACCACCAAATCCATCAGACATGGGAGCTGGTGGAAATGTTGTCCTTTGTTTGACTCAAATTCTACCAAAAAATAAAATAAATCAGAACTACAAGCTCTTTTAAAAAAAAAAAAAAAAAAAAGAACCTTCAGCCCTAACTCCAGTCACTGATGTGAATCTGGTCGTTTCAACCCATAGATAATCAGATAAACAGATGGTGATTCACAAAACACTTTTTTCAACAAGCAATTCCTTCCTGATGTTTTACATTTAATAGGGAAAAAGATTCATGGCAACATCCTAAGTAATTCTAACTCTGCCAAACAAACACACATACAAACACACACATGCTCATTTTAGTAATGTGCTTAAATGTAGCATTCATTAATGAACATTGGTTGTTTATTTTATATTTGGTGAGTTGGAACCATGTCTAATTTATTTGTGTCAAAGTTAGTTTTTAATGAATGTAGTTTCTGTTTGATTTGGATTTCATTTCTCATAATCACTGTAGAAAACCTTGGTGTTTTAGTCCCCTTGTAGCACAATGTTGCCCTAAAGCAACAAACCCAAATCTGGGTCTGATTTGATGATTGATATGTAATTAGGGACCACAAGCTCCCAAAGAAGGCAGGGAAATGGTTCTCTCCCAAAAAATAAAATGTCATGCGATTGAGGGTTAATATTCAACTATTGCTCCAAAGTCTGGGACTGTCACACTGATTCAGTTTTGATTTTTGTTTCTTTCAAAGGAGTTAAAAATCTCCAAAACATTTTTTTCTATCCCAAGAATACAAACTGGTAAAAATATTTAACTGGTCGGTAAACGTGAAATTTCAAAGAGTTTTTAAATGAAAAGAAAAAATAAAAAAACTGTTGGAAAGGCAGATATTGCCACAGGTTGCTCTTTTTAGCTTAAGATAAATATTAAGGGCTAAAAGTTAAACACTTCTGAGAGATTTGACGTTTTAGCTGACGCACTGCTGCGACTTCCTCTATGAATTTGCCGTCCTGTCCACGCTAAACTCTGGGACTCTGATACCGAAGGGTTTCTGGGACATTTGAGTGAACTATACGGTCACTAATACCGCTTCCGGGCTGATTGAGGACGCGGGTCCTGATGATGAGCCAGAAAACCCTCAACACTTTCTCCACTCAGCTCGTCAAATAAGCTAATATTAGCTCGGTTTAGCGGCTGCTAAGTGAGAGATAGAGGTCAGTTAAGCACACCGTCCCAGTAAAACACTTAACAATACTGCTTATTTTTGCGGCCTAATATTCTCTACAATAACTACAAATGAACATGTTTTAATAAATGACACTTACAGACGTCTACAGCAGCCTATCTCCTGGTTGTATCGACACTGGATGATACAGGCATCAAGTTACCCAGAGAGCTCGCAGTAAACCGGAAACTGAACTTTCTTTCGCCCTTCAAACAAAATCACTCCAGGAGGAGTGACTGAGCATAACTCCGTGGCAAACGACAGTGTTTCATATCTATGAGTCATACATATGGCCTCAACGAGACTTAAAACTCTTATTTTGAAGCGTTGCCCGGAAGCGTTGAGCTGCTCACGTCTGCGCTAGGCGCAACCCAACCGAGGTCGCTGCCTCTGAGGGGCAACGTGCTCTCAGAGCGCAATGGAAAAGTATATTTTGAACCTTTCCATATTTTGTCTCATTCCAATCAAATTTGAAGGAAAACAAGCAAAACTTTATGGGTTTAAAGTTGCCTGTATTTCTAATAAGTGTTATTTAAATGTAATTGTTGATTTATATTATTCAAATATTTAAAGAAAATTGAATTGTTGTGGATACTGATGTCTGCAGGCAGGAAAGATCTCCTGTAGCAATCTGTTGAGGCAACTCTGAAAAAAATTCTGTGTAGTCTACTGCAGAGGATGCTCAGGGTTGTACATAAGAGCCGTTAAGCCAGGCTGAATGACAGATCATATGCTTACATTTTTTCCCCAGTGTGACTGACCATAACTATTTTATATATATAAAGCTGGAATCAATTTGGAATCCCATGTACAGGAGGAATCTATACCACAAAGTGATTTAAGATAGCATCTTGTGAATTAGCAGACATTGAATTAGGGTCAGAGTCACTGCAATAACCTGAATATATAGTTCAGTAAAACGCCCCTCAGCTCTACCGCAGCTATAATACCTCTTCTCAATTTATGGCAACAATTGTCAGCTGCTTCATAGCGCCCTCTGGAGTCATAATCCAGGCATGAACTGACAAACTTGGGATATTAGAAAGAACATACTTTGTGACAGCTTTTTATGACATTGTAGTAAATAGGCTGAAATGTGTTTTTTTTTTTTTTTTTTTTGTTGCAAATATAACCAATCAATTGATCTAGAATTACAGTTCTGCTGCAGTTATCTCACTCTGTGTGCGCGTACACAAACATAGAAAATGAACACTTAGGATCATGTGCATTTATTGCAAAGCAGATCAACCTTTAACAAAACTGTCACAGTTACAGTTTTTCAGGACTTGATGGAATGTTTGTTATTTTTTCTCCCAGGAATGAAATCAGGAATGACACGGGGTCCACCTCATGACCACATCCAAGGACAGCATGATGAGTAGATGGGTGGGGGAATGTGGGTAGTGTTCCTCATCTAAGCTACAGGCGAAGACAGGAAGACTGAGGCAAAGTGTCAGGGGTCTGAGCAGAGGGATCCTGAACTGCTCAGTAGAGCCAGCTAAAGGCACAGCTTGTGTAGTTGACCAGCTCTTCTGGTTTGAACCACAGGGAAATCTCAGTTTTGGCACTGTCCACTGAATCACTGCCATGGATAATGTTCCTGAGGAGAAGAAGAGGAAGAAGAAGAGGTAAATGAATGCTAAACTGTTCTAGTTAACCTGACTAATCAGAGCATCTCATTCAGTCAGTTCTCACACATCCACACCATAGCAACTTGTCGCTGGAGACTGCCATCAAACCACAAAATTCTGACAGTCAGTCACTTCTCCCAGAGAACTCCAGCTGAAGACTGCAAACTTTTTGTCCCATTTATATTAACAAGTTACAACATTTAATTTCCCTTTGGATCAATAACGCATGTCTGAATTTTAATTGTAGGAGACTGGTTCCAGAGCCGCGTGTCGAGGTGAATCTGACTACATCCAGCCGGAGCCTCAGCCTCACACACCAGCTCAGGCTCCTTCCCCACCAGAGGGGACATTCCACGTCTACATACCAGAAAACTGAATTATTCAAAATACCGTTCGACTCAAAATTGATACAAACTGATTAGTTTGCATTTGTTCAAATAATGACAGTCTCTCAACTCCTTGCATAAAGTTAAATAAAATTGGTCTTAAAATGATTGCATGACTGACTCAAAGGTTCACAGTGAAACAAAAGATATGAACACCTATGCTAAGTGTTATTTTTGTACTGGTTTCCCCATTAGGGAAATAACATTTTTAAATTGTACATTTTTATGGCCTACTATTGTTGTGTTAGAAATAATCCTCATTTTTGGTCTCAACTAGAAATCCCTCTTTAAAAAAAAAAAAAAACTCCCATTTTGCAATGTTCTCCTTGGCATTATCCCCATTTTGTAATTCACTCACCTTTTTTCTGTAAGACTGCATCACTCATCAAATCGAATCAGATTTTATGATTAGTCAATTAGTACTTTATTAGCTATCATGATTTTTTTTTTTTTACTCTTTGGTTGAGTGCAGACAAACAGTTTTGATGGAACGGACCCAAATGACACTCACTTGCTGACGTCGATGCAGAAGTCTCCTCTGATGGTTCCAGGTTTGGAGTCAGCAGGATTAGTCTCACCCAGCATGACTCTGCCAGTCTTCACCACTCCCTTTCCTTCCCACACCTGGAACATAAAGGGCAGGGATTCGGTCAGGACTGTTAACATTCCAGCCTCTTCTTCTGGAAAAAGAACAAGCTGGGTTCTCACCATGGCGACCACTGGACCAGAACTCATGTAGTTGACGAGGGAAGGAAAGAAAGGTCTGTCCTTAAGATCGATGTAGTGCTGCATTAGAAGGTCCTCAGAGGCCTGCAGAAGACAACCGTAAAGTTTCCTTCATATGACTGACCTCTCACAAAGCTGCTGTAGTCATTACATGCAAGAACCAGGTTTCCTACTCACACTGGAGAGCAACAGATGTCAAGTATGACATTATGGCTTTGTCTACTTTCGTTTTATTATCGAGTTAAATGGAGGTGCACCTGCAGGTGATTTTGTTCTAAGGAACATTTACAAGTCTGAGACCATCCAAACTATACAGAGATGGCAGAATCATGCTGTGTGGCTTTTTTAACAAGGGAGGAAGTGATGCACATCATGAGGAAAGAATATAATATGGAAATAATTCAGCAACATCTAAAGCCATCAACCAGGAACCATCACTTTGGTTACACAGTTGCTGAAGAATATCATAAAGCCCCTGGGGGCAGCAAACTAACTCCAAAACAGCTGATGGAGGGAAACCTGAAAAATTGGAGTCAAGTTGTACAGTATGGAAGGCAACTTCACCAAATGCTGAAGAAATGCAAACTGAACAAGAAACACAAAGAAAATCTTTTTCTATATGCATTCTGACATTCTTTGTTTACTAAGTACATATTAATTAAGCCCAGACTAATAGCTACAGTTATTTTGTAAAGCTAATGCAATCTGTAAAGCACCAAAACCGTTTGTCAGTTTGTATCTGCAGGACCCTGATCATCATGCTAAGCTTACAACCGAGCCATTCCTCTCTCTGCAGCACTGAGATGGACATCCTGTCCCTTACAGCACACCAGGGTCAAAGGTCAACAAATTTCAACTTTTAATTTTGAGCTTTATTGAGCTGCAGTGCCATACTCAGCACAGCCCAGAACTGCTGTTGCATTGAGCAGCAGTACAAAGTGATGGATCACAACGCAGAGCAGGTGCTGCATTCACTGTAGAATCCCCTATAACAACCGCAGACCTGATACATCTACTGCTGCAGCTAGAGAAGCAAAATACAAGTGCTACATTGTATAAACAATGCTTCAAATAATTTTTAAGCCACCTTTTTATTATGTACTTTTAAATTATAACACTGGAAAAACCTTGAAGATTCCCGATATGACCGCAGTGCTGGCTGGGATCTGCGCATGAATGGATCGGACAGTTCTGCTAAAAAAAGGTGCCGGTGGCAGAGGGCACATCTGCTGAAAGCATGCCGTTATCCGATTACTGGAGGAATTACACAATTCTCATTTCTAATGTACAAAGTCCCTGGCTCATCCCACTGTAGCACCACAGATGGAAACTGACATCCATGTCAGAGATCAAACTTTTTGCAGAAAAAGAAGACCTGCCTGGGGAAGCTGGCTCCACATGTACTAGAGAGGGTCCAATAATCCAAATCCTTGTCCATACATGCCAACAGACCTCTGCTGCTCAATCTGTTCAGTACATTACCGACTAAAGGATTTCACTTGAGCAGCTACTTTAATCCCTTAACCTCAGTCACCCGGAACTGCACTTTATTCACGCCACACTGATCCAAAAAGACCACCTTCCTTTGCATAAGGCTGATGTAGACATGAAACTGCTGATCAGCAGCACTGCGTTCCAGATCAGATGACTTGAAAGCTGCAGTGGGGTCCAGCTGGTTCTCCGCAGTAAGGAATAGATCAGATGGTTAATCAGCTCTATGCTGGTGCTCTGTACAGTCATGTGAACGTGGCTCAAAATAACAAGACTCAAAATAACAAGACTTAAGCTCTTCAGGTTTGTCCTCACCTGAAGCATCTTCATGCCAACAAGTTTGAAGCCCTTCATCTCGAACCTCTTGATGATCTCCCCGATGATGCCGCGCTGCACGCCGTCGGGCTTGATGGCGATGAAGGTACGCTCCTGCAGTTCAGCCATGGTTCTGAAACGAAGGAGCAGACAGAGTGACTCAGAGGTGGTGTGGGGGAGAGGTGGTCAGAACAACTGGAGTGGACCAGAGGAACCAGCCTGACGGTCACTCACAGCACCGGGCTGGATTTGGCACGAGGAGCTGGGGGGCCGGCTGACGAGGGAACCGACCCCATCGAGCTGAGGAATGCTCCACTTAGGTCAATGAGGATTGACCCAAGACTGTTGGTAGCAGAACGGCAGCTACCAACAGCCACACCCACACAGGGTCACAGCTTAGGTGTTACCACTGCCAGGGGAGCTACAGACAACTTCCTATTTGTTCATTTTGCTCCTTCCCCAATAATCAATCCAGTCACACAGACATAACTCTTATTTACAGCATTTCCAATCAAACTGGTTAGTTCTATAGTGCAGGAGTTTCGCTGTCTAATGACACAAGTGCAGAATAAAGTGCTGCTCCAATTCTAAGTTGCATAAAGCAACACACACACACACACACACACACACACACACACACACACAGAATGAAGAGAGCTACTGCTACTCATTAGCTCCACCTTTGAAGCCTCGCCATGATGCCAAGAGCTGAAGTTTAATCTCCATTTGTCACTGTTCCTAATAAACACAGCAGTATTATCTAAAGTGCCTTTAGAGGGAACAAAGGAACTGTGACTGTTAATGTTGTACTCAACAGACCAAGATCCTAAAGCTAATAGAAAGAGGAGGCATGATTCAAAATAAAGTAGTGAGAAAAATGGTACATTATAAATCGAGATACGTTTACCCAAAATTCTGCAACATCTAAAAATAAATCACTTTGTCATTGTAAATTGTAGCAGTTCCATTTTCTAAATTATCTGCCACTTGATGGACATCTTCCACTTTTTTAATACTACTGGGAAACATAAGAGATTATGAAAAGATTAAGACTGAATTGAAATGGACCTGCTAAGAGATCAGGCTGCAAATGTGACACAAGCCCAGAATAAAATGCTAGTAGAAGATATTCTTAGAATTTGTACAGCAATGGAGGCTAAACTCCAGTCCTTGAGGGTTGGGGTGTCCAGCACACTTGAATTAAGTGGCTAAAGAACCTCACCAGCATGCAGTCAAGCTGAACAGAGCCCTGCTAATGAGCTTATGCTGGAATCAGGTGTGCTGAAGTAGAGAGTTGTCTAAATGCTGCAGGACACCAGCCCACTGACTCTACCCACTCTGTTCCACTCCTACATAAAATTAAAGAGATTTGAAAGACAAGTTTAATATATAGGTGAATAATTTCATTATGCATTTTGAGTTTAGAGGATCTAGATGAGGAAATTAGAATGACAATATTGGCTATAATCTACAAGGTTATTTCTAGGAGTGCATCAACTGCTTTTTTCTGGCCAATCACAGATTACAGATCTTTTACAAAGCCTGACCTGCTCATTCATATATACACTGATGTATATACTGATTTTTTTGGTCTAAAACTAAAGTCACAGAGTTTGCAACAGTGGAGTGACCATTGTCAACAGCAAACATGACCTTGTGGGTCTATCAGTCAAACCTCTCATGGCAGTGAGAAACAGGACAGTGGTTGAGTTTTAGACCTTTGCTGAGGAAGATGAAATCATTGGAAAAGATCAGCAAGTGAGTGAAAAAATTAAGGAATTTGGTGCCGATTTATAGGTGCATCCCCAGTTATTTTGGTATTAGACAACATGTTTGGGTAGGATATCATAAATAAAAGAAACCCCACATTGAATAGGTTTACTATATGCGAAAAACACTTAATTAAGAAATGTCAGAGTTGGACCCACAGATGTTCAATATACAAACTGTTTGGCTTATTTGAATAAATCCTTTTGTTGTCCACCAAGTATCTGCTGTTTAGTTCAACACTACATGATTAGAATTAGATGGGTGACTATTATTCCCACTGCAATAAAAAAAAAAGTTGATTTTTTTTTTTTAGGTGTGGTCTTCACTTCCTACAGTGACAGATAAATGTTCGAGTTGCTGAGCAGACTGATCCAGACAACCCGACAGAGAATCGGGACAGAAGTCGCATCTTCCGCCCGCAGGTCTAAAGCTCTGATGGAGCAGGACGGCGTTCAGAGTTCAAGTGGAAGAGATCATCAGTCGCAATCTGCGACTTAGGTCCTGGCTACAAGCGCAAGCTACTTGTTTAGCACACAGTAAAATATATTTAATTTGCTTCTTCGAATAAAGTTGCGTTAAAATAGACGATAGCCGTCACAACGTCACCATTCATGATTTTCAACAGTTTCCTTCCTGTGCTGTGACGTGGAAGTCACGCGGCACGGGCCTGGACTTTAGCAGTGTCTGCTCGGTGGAGTGAGCTCTAAATCCGCCGGCTGCTTCGGCATTCTCCTGGACAGCTGGGCAGGCGGGCGCCAGCGTCACCCTCCACAGGACGCGTCTCGTTATCAGATTTCTTCCAGATAGCGATGGTGGTCGCGAATTCGAACTTGCAGTAAATTAAAGACGACAGTTCCGCATAGTTTATCAAGGCAGGTCTGGGCCTTTCTTAACAGCCACATGGTCCCTTTGTTCCCGCTGCTGGCTGTCAAGACTTCCATTTCCGCGACACAGGAACCGGCTCGGAGCGCGAGCGGTCAACATGCATGTTGAAGTTTTAAACCCGTCACATGAGGTGCGAACTCGTTTTTAATGGCGTTAGAAATAGATTTTTAACAAAGTGCCAAAAACCTAGCAGGAAACAAGGTGAAGTCAAGCAAATTGTGAAACACTTGAAAATAATTATAAAAGTTGCTAAAAAATCAGAGAGGGATGATTACCTCGACAGTGAAGCTCCGCTGAAGCAACCGGACAATCCACTCTGCGCTTAATGAAAGAGAAGAACTACAGGGAGGCGCAGCTCTTATTTATAGGAGTAGGCGGGGCTGAGGGAACGGCAAGTCTCTGGAGCCAAACTTCAGTTCGAGCCGATAAAGCTTTTTTGTCGGGTTAAAACAACATTTCGAAAATAACCTTTAAATAGGTATGAATCATATTTAACTTTTCATTAAGTTTAATATGTATAAACTAAATAAGTCTGTATTAATGGAATATTTTAATCGTTAATGTCATTTATTCAACAGCCGTAAGTAAAAAACATTTTGTAATTAACAGGAATAAAAGCAAGGAAGTGTCAGTCTGTGTGTAGTTAATACAATCTCAAACGGTTTCAAATTGTAAGAGCAATTCTTCTTTTAAAGTAGTCTATTGATGTTTCTAGGTTTTCCAAAGTGTTTTCTTTTTTAAATCATCATTACTGTGATTATTATTATATTGTAAAAGTATGAACGTTGTGGTAAAGAATGTTTGTCAAGTGTCAACCATAGGTTGATGATGTTGCCCATTAAAACATCTGATTTTTTTTTTACCGAGTTTGTGTACTTTTGTAACATCTAATCTTACAAGCAATGGAAGTCATATGAGTTATAGGTACTGCAAAATTTAGGATGGTCAGATTGTGTAGAATTTGTTCATCTGTGGTACTGTCAATCAGTCAACCAGCCATATAACAGTATAAAATAAACCAGTTCGTTTTCTATTTGTGTTTGTAACTCAGAAAATAAATCAAGTTGAAATAAGTTTCACAATTTTGATCAGAAACTTTGACTCTTGCTGAACAATGAACGCGAGTAAAATCTGAGCAGGGAGCGCCCTCTGTTGGAGGTCTGCGTTGTCAACAACTAAGCCAATGGGATTTAAGGAACCAGTGCTTCCGGTTTTATAGCAGGTAGACACTGGGATGTTAATATTAGCAGCTACTTGACACACCATGATTTGACCAGCTGCCCATTCATATCCGCTGTTAGCAGAAACAGCGGCGACCACCTGCACCGGCGGACGTTTATAGGCGAGTCCAGGTTTGTTACATTTAAATATTGCCACTTTTATTTTTACGGTTAACCGTGCCCAAACATAAGTAGAATAATGTCGCGTCGTGATACTACGAAGCCAGTTTTAGGTTACAGTTTTCAGTTGTTTGGAAAAATTATTCTCGTGTTTGTTTGTAAACGAGGCTTGTCTTGACAGGGTTTTGACATACAGCTAGCTTGTTACAATGTAACTATCCTCCAGCACCGAGTGTACGTCACTTTTATGCGCAGCCAGATGAGGTGTCATACATTTTATAATTAGCGTTAACATACATTTGAGATACAGTTTAGCATAAAATGCATCCCACGTGTGCTGCACTGACAGCAGCGTGTAATTTTTCAAGTGTAGACTGAAATTTAAGGAAACCGACTTTTTATTTTTCAATTAATCTGATGACAAAAACAGGATAATCAAAATCACAAACACAGAATGAATTTATAACAAAACAATAGCGCCGAGTGTTATACAGCGGATAGAAATGAAAATCAATTCACAAAAATATTACAGAGTGCACATATCAACCTTAGTATTATTTTGTGTACATTGCTTAAAATGCGTTTAAAAAAATTAAGAGGGAAAATGTGAGATTTGCAAAATTTTGATTTATGTTTATAGTATTTTGCAAGTAATAAAATTAGTCTGATGTTATAAAATTCTTATTATTAGTAGAATAAGAATTTAAACAACACACTCGCAAGGGGTGAACAAAAAATGATCGATAAGTCATGAGCAGTATCAATAGATAATACTTCTAATAAGGGCTGCATGGTGTTGAAGTTGGTAGCACTGTTGCTTTGCAAAAACCTGGGTTCAAATCCCGGCCCGGGGTCTGGAATAACTTATACAGATCTTCTTTATAGAGTTTATGGAATACACAGTTCATGTCAATGTCCTTTTTGTACTCTAAAGAAAAAGCTGGTGGGAATAAAAACAGTGGATTATCTTGAAGAAGCAAACTTTAGTACTGCAGTTTAGTTATGTGACATTAGCAAAATGTAGGTGAGACATGTAAAGCAAGAGCCAGAGGCAGTCCTTCAACACACAACCCCAGCTACCCTGTACAGATTTGGTCTCAGAATAACAAAAATAATTGTCTCCAGGTCCGGGTGTAGCCATGCCTGTCTCCCTGCTGTGGGCAGTGGACGTGTACGGGCGTGTCTACAGCCTGTCCACTGTGGGACAGCAATGGGAGCATTGCCGCAATGCCCACATGGAGTTCAAGCGGGTGACAGCAGCTCAGCAGTGCTGCTGGGGCATTGCCTGTGACAACAGCATCTACCTGAACGTCCATGCGTCTGACCTGCCTGTACGCTACCAAGAGGACACGTACGAAAATCAGGTTAGGCTCTTTTAATTATTGTCTCATTGCAACATGTGAGAATTAGCTTGACAGGGACTGTCAAGAGAAGTGGGACCAAAAGTCCAAATGGAAAGGAGATAAAAAGAGAGGAGAAACAGAAGGATGAAGAGAATACAAGAGCGCACCCTAGAGGTCTGTTTCTACACCTGCAGAAAGAGAGAGAGCAAGAGAGCGAAAACAGATAACCAAGAAACAGCGACAAGCAACACATGCAGTTACTCTACTGGTTGTTTATTGCAACAAGAAAGTCTCAAGTTTGAATTATGACCAGGGTTGTTTCTCCATGAAATTTGCATGTTCTTCCTTTGCTTGTGTTGTGTTTCTTCGTTCATCCAAAACAGTAAAATTTGCTCTAAAATTGACTCTTGTTATGAGAGTCTTCGTGCATTATTTATTCTGGGGGGAGAGATGAGATTATTTTACCTGTGACCATGAGATGACTGGTCACCAGTCTGAGGCATACCCAGCCATCCATCCATCCATCCATCCATCCATCCATCCATCCATCCATCCATCCATCCATCCATCCATCCATCCATCCATGCATGGCTGGCTGGCTGGCTGGCTGGCTGGCTGGCTGGCTGGCTGGCTGGCTGGCTGGATGGATGGATGGATGGCTGGCTGGCTGGCTGGCTGGCTGGCTGGCTGGCTGGCTGGCTGGCTGGATGGATGGATGGATGGATGGATGGATGGCTGGCTGGCTGGCTGGCTGGCTGGCTGGCTGGATGGATGGATGGATGGATGGATGGATGGCTGGCTGGCTGGCTGGCTGGCTGGCTGGATGGATGGATGGATGGATGGATGGATGGATGGATGGATGGAAAAATGAAATAATTTCTCCCTGTTTTTCTTTCAGAGATGGAATCCTGTTGACGGTTTCTCAGAGCGTCTGCTTCCAAGTGACCGCTGGCAGTGGAGTGACATCACAGGCCTGCAGCATCAACCCATAGCCAGCTTCCAGCTCCCTTCCAGCAGCTGGGAGTGGGAGGGAGACTGGTTTCTGGATGAAAACCTCGACGGAGAGCCAACAGAAAAAGAGGTAGTGTTTTGGTGAATTCATTTTCCGCTTTGCTCTTGCATTCTTCTTGTATTAATAACTTCAGTGTTTGTGTTTGTAGGGGTGGACGTATGCCATGGATTTTCCTGCTGCTTACACCAAGGACAAGAAGTGGAACTCCTGTGTCCGTCGCAGGCGATGGCTCCGCTACAGGAGGTACAAAGCCATGGACACCTGGGCTAAGGTGTGTGTCACAATATCTCTACCAGTTATGTTCACATATAACGTAGTGAATAAGATGATCTCCCTCTTACAGGATACTTCTTTTTTTTTTTTTTTTTTTTGCTTCACTGACAATTAAAAGCTTCAGATCATCAAACAAGTTTTAATATTGAATAAAGACAACTTGAGTAAATCTAAAAATCTTACTTTTTCCTGGGGAAAAAGTAACTATGTGTCTTGAACAAACTGTAATTCAATTAACATTTTTAGAAGAGATCTCTAACAGTCCAGAAAGTCTGGAAAAGTTGTTTCAATGACTTTAGGACGCTTTTTTATTTACTCTGTGTCATTCTAATTGTGTCTTGACAGATCCCTTCACAGCAGATAACTCTACCGGATCCCTTTAGTGACATCAGCTGCGGAGGCTGGGAGATCAGTGAGGAGCCCAGGGGCCGGCTGTCTCTGTGGGCCGTGTCCCTGCAAGGAAAGGTACAGCTCACCTCAGTACACAACAGCAAGTCACGGTCCACCTTATTCTGCTGTTTATTTCCTGTTTAGCTTGTTTAATGCAAATCAGATAGTGGTTCTTTCCTGGAGTGTTTCTTTTTACACTTATATTCAAATAATATGCAGTTGACCAAAGAGCAAGTCTCTTAACTCTCACTATTATCTAACACTGTTTCTATTGCTATCCAGGTGTGGTTCAGAGAAGGAATCTCTCACCACAACCCTGAGGGTTCTTCTTGGGTGGAGGTGGCTCCCCCTGGAGAAGTGGTCCAGATCAGCTGTGGGCCCGGGGACCTGGTCTGGGCTGTGCTATGGGAGGGACACCTCATTGTCAGGGAGGGCATTAGTCGAGACTGCCCAATAGGTACACGCTGAACTGTGCGCATGTAGTGTTGAAGTGTGTGTTTTTTGTCTGAGAATTGCTTCCTGTGTGTTGTAGGTACTTCCTGGGCAGAGGTGGCGTCTCCGAGCCCTGACGTGGCCGCTATACATGTCGCTGTAGGAATGAATGTGGTCTGGGCTGTGACCAAAGATAATAAAGTAAGTCTGTATAGATGTATGTATTGGTGCTTTTCTTTACATTCTTAATTTCAATGTGTTCTCTGACAGTGTAATAATCATATTAACAAAAGTATGAATCTGTACACTTAGATATATGAGTTTTTCTAAATGTTTCCAATTGCCCAATGATGGTTGGTTATTTGAAGAAGCCCAAAATGTTTGATTCAGAGGAGAAAAGAGAGACTGTAGCCATCTGTTACCACTGTAAGAGAAAAAAAAATATCCTCGAGATTTACCCACCTGTACCTCATGCCTTCAGAACTTTAAATCATGTCAAGGTTTAGATAAGACTAAAATTATCTATACTTAGAAACTGAAACACCATCTGGTGTTGCAAAAAGGAAGTTGCATCTATAGACAGCTACAGTGAAATTTATTACAGTGAAGTCTTTAGGATTAGGATTGCAAGGTTAAAACAAACCTTTTAACTGATGAATGCATGCAAAGAATGATGGGAATATAATCAATGTTGAAGTAGTTTGTCGTCCTGCTGACCTAGGTGTGGTTTAGGCGAGGTGTGAACTCTCATAACCCCTGTGGTTCCGGATGGATCAACATGGTTGGAGAAATGATCATGATCAACGTGGGCCTGAACGACCAGGTGACACAATAAATCCAGACTCTCTATATTTAACTGGTAGAGAAATGTTAAATTCTTCTGTAGATGACAATGTCTGTTACTTTGTTCCTACACACAGTATAATAGAAATATGGAGAATGTTGTGTGATGTATATTCATCTCCTTTATTTGTTTTCAATTTATTAGTAAGTGTTTTGGAGTATTTTTCTGCCAAATAGAGGCTAAAGTTTTGCTCCATTGTTCTTTCTACTAAAGCTCTGAATGTCAGATTGTCATTTGGATTTAGGTCTGCACTTTGACTAGACCTCTCTAACACATGAATATGAATGAACATTAACCATTAATGTCACTCTTCTTTTATGTTTAGGATTGATCCCTGACCCGGTTTCATGATGCATTTGGTTCACCAACATCCTATAACAAACATCTGAAGCTTTTACAAAACTCTTACAAGCAAAGTCAGATTAAATGGGCTCAATATTTTTTATGCTGAATACAAATGCATGATTTTTTTTTTAAGGGCTAAAACCATGAGTTGTTTTATTTCCACTCCACAATTTCTGCCCTTTTTCTGTCAGTATATCACTTTTTGTTGGAAAAATTTGGACAATCTTGTGAGGCTCTTCCAAACTGTCATAACTCATGACCTGGCTCATCTCCTACTTCAGGTGTGGGCCATTGGCTGTGAGGACCGGGCGGTGTACTTCAGACAGGGTGTTACCTCCAGTGAGCTGAGCGGTAAAACCTGGAAGGTCATCAGCGTTCCTCGAGATGGGGAACGATCCCACTCCAGTGCCAGTGCAAACAGTCAACACAGGTAAAGGCATCCTGCAGGACTCAAACAAACATCTTTTTTGGAGTCCACAGACATGCATTCTAATATTCAAATGTCTGTAAAGAAGAGCTAATTCATAATTTAATTTCTTGAGTCTCTGTCGTTTCCACAGTGCAGGTTGTTTTTTCTCTGGTGAAGTGCGGGCTCCATCAGTAGTCAGCGATGCTGAATTAGACCTTGAACATCCACCAGCAGATGGAACCAAGAGCAATGCCATGTTCCCTTGCCCAGACTCCTTCATCGATACCCCTACAAACTCTTCATCAGAACCGTGCGTCAAGCCTCACATCCCCAAGGTCACAAGCGACAGCTTTATCTCTGAACTCGTCTCTGACCGAAAACCAACAAAGACATCTGGAGGTACTGAATTAGCCTCTGCCACCGTCCTGGAAGAGGTCGTCCCTGGTGAAGGAGAGACTGACGTTCTGTCCAGTAACAGTGCTGTTACCATTACTGGGTCTGGTGGTCCCCCCGACCCCCAGTGGAGTAACGTAGATCTGGAGGAGGCACAGATCCAACACAGCCAAACGGGAACAGTGGCAGACTCCGCTGACTCCTGCAGCCTGTCATCAGTGGCAACCTACAGCCTGGCCATGGAGGATCTGTATGCGGTGGACGAGCACCCTCTGTGGGCGTGGGTCAGCGGAGGAGGCTGCTCTGTGGACAGCCACTCTCAACTCAACTGGTTCAGCTGCTCTTTGAACACATGTAGGTTATGTTGTGAAATGACTCAATGGAAAATTTTCTGACAGCTAGAATTCTGAAATATCATATCTGATTCCAGTCAGATGTTTAAATACACACATCATGTGCCTTAATATCATATCAAATTTGGGCTTCTAATTATTTAAAGCTTTTGTTTTCAGGGGGATTGATAATACAATGCCCAAGTTCAGTGTTCCCCCTCCCCCAAACAGTCAAAATTATACATAAACACCCAGATATAGGACTGCAGCTAATGATTATTTGAACTTGATTGATCTATCGATTATTCTGGCGATTAATAGATTAACTAAATAAAAAAAGGCACGTTCTGTAGATTTTGTTGCCTCAAATGCAATAACAGGATTCCGTACGCGAACATTTGACCATTTCCTGCAATGGATCCTATTTCTTCTCTTACTTGTCTTTCACCAGCTATGCTTCAGTCAGTGCAGTCCATGAGTCTGTCCGTGTCTCCTGCTCAGACAGCTGCTTGGCGGAAACAAATCTTTGAGCAGCTTAGTGAAAGGTCCAAGAGAGAGATGGACAATTTCAGACATTACGAACAAGCCATTGAGCAGGTACATGCAATACACTCTGAAAAATGATAAGCTTTTAGATCATGAAGAGAACCTTTTCATTGACACGCATTCACAATTTGACTTGAACTCCTATCTTTGTTGGCAGTCGGTGTGGGTAAAGAAGGGAGCCATGCAGTGGTGGAGAGACTGGAAGCCGCACAAGTGGATCGATGTTCACTTTGCTCTGGAACAGTTTTCTGGAGCCGAGGGACACAAGGATGGGATCTTATTCATTTATTACAATTATTATGAGGAGAAGAAGGTGAGAATGTAAAGTTGGTCAAAGTTATTAAAAAAACACAATTTGCTCTCAACATGAGTTTGACTCATGCATTTATAATATATCTAATTTATACTCGCTATTGTCTATACATGTGTATAAGCTCCGGTTGCATTGCATAAATTCTCTGCTTTAATTTGTGTCTCTGTTTGTCTAAAGACTAGAGCCACAAAACTCCAAAGATGAATGTTTTCCTTTCTTCTACCTTTTCTCCTTCCTGTCTTTTTTCAGTACCTCCATGCCTTCATTAATGAAGTAACCATCCTGGTTCCTGTTCTCAACGACTCCAAGCACACGTTTGCCATCTACACTCCTGAACGTACCAAACAGAGGTGGCCAATAAGAGTGGCAGCTGGCACAGAGCTGGAGATGTATGATTGGGTGTGTAGAAGGAGATATCTACATCAAAAATGACACATTTTAGTCCCATGATTCCTGTTGGCACAACTTTGATAAGAAGACGAATATCTGCTCAAGTATTTTACCATGCTTTTTTTAATACCCTGTAAATAGTCACAAAATGATTTACTCATGTAAAGTAGTTTTGCTCTCTTTAAAATTCTTTCTGCTCTCCAGCTGGCTTTGTTGAGTGTATCCTGCTGTGACTCCAGAGGAATCCACGGTTCTCCGTCCAAACAAGCGATCTGGTCCATCACCTGTAAAGGGGACATCTTTGTCAGTGAGCCCTCCTCTGCCCTGGAAGCCATGCCTTACCCCACACCCTGTGATCAAATGTAAGAAAACCACCAAGAGCATTCACTATGAACTATGTTAAGGCCACAAGCCCCATTGTGTTTAATTAGGACATTATATGACCAACCAACAGTAGGTAGTCTAGGTTTGTGAGGTGGAGTAGAATAGAATATACTTTATTGATCCCTAAGGGGAAATTACTTGTATGCTGCTCCATTCAGAGTGTTAAAAATTGGTACATACAAATATAAACATAATCAATATAAAATTTATAAAAAAAAACATATATTTATATATGTGTGATTTTGTGATTTAAATATGACATAATATAAAATAAATAAATAAAATAACAAGAATGCACATGGAAATATAACAAAATATAAATAAATCTATGAATAAATGAATGCGTTAGTATTGCCCCTGTGACGTATTTAACTAAAACTGGTCTTCACAGAACAGTGTTGCTGTCTGAAAGCTATGACACATTCTGTGTGCAGTTTGCCACAGTCATTTAGGAAATACAGCAAATGTTCTAAGATGAGACCAGAGTTATATTTTTGCTTAACATCCTAAAACTTTATAGGGAAACTATTTCTTCCAGTGTCAGTCCATCAAACTTCAAACCTTTGTGGTAAGACTTGGTGTTCACTCTTTTCCAATCTGACTGAACTCTGGATAATTTACAAGGAATAGGCAAAAATTTTAATCTGTAAAAATAGAATGCAGGTAGAAAAGTGCCTTTTAAAAACTCTGCCTGTAATTGTATTTGGGGTATGTTTTTTTTTTAATTCATATTGTTTTTTAAAAAATATATATAAAACATAGATGAGTCCTCTTCCACTTCACATTTATTCCCTACTCTGTGTTGGTCTATGCTAATAAAATACAATGAAGTTTGAGAGTATAGCATAACATCGCTGTTCCAGAGGAACGAATACAAATGAAGACAAATGCAACTCCCAATACACTGGAGCATAAACAGCTGGGAGTCTTTCTGTTTTGTTGGTGCAGGTTCTGGCGGCAGGTAGGAGGCCACCTGCGGTTAGTGGAGTGCAACAGCCTGGGGATAGTGTGGGGCATCGGCTATGACCACACCGCCTGGGTCCACACCGGAGGCTATGGAGGAGGCTTCTTCCAGGGCTTGGCCAGCAGCACAGATAATATTTACACTCAGACTGACGTCAAGAGCGTTTACATCTATGAGAACCAGAGATGGAATCCTGTCACTGGCTACACCAACAGGTGTTTCACATGCAGATGTTTTCAACTTCTTTGTGTAAAGCAATCAGAAATTAAACACACTTAGGCTTATTGTGATTTGATCTATGTAATTATTATACTAAGCTCTTTCTGACCCATGTAAATTGGGCTTTCTTCATTTTAGAGGCCTTCCAACAGACCGCTACATGTGGAGTGATGCGTCAGGATTACACGAGTGCACTAAGACTGGTACAAAACCCCCTTCTCCTCAGTGGACATGGGTAATCTGAGCTCACCTCTAGTGTTTATTCTTGACTTTTGAGAGCATTTAATCCAACAGCTGCAGGTGCATGAAGTGTTTCACTTCTCTTTACCGTGTCCAGGTGTCTGACTGGGCTGTTGACTACAGCGTCTCCGGGGGAGCAGACAGAGAGGGCTGGCAATATGCTGCAGATTTTCCAGCGTACGTTTTCTTTAAGGCTACACTTTAAATGATTTTATCTTTCATTAGTTTTTTTTCTGTTCCTTATAATTCATCCACTCCCTCCATATTCTCTGGTAGGTCCTATCATGGCTTCAAAACCATAAAGGACTTTGTGCGGCGTAGGCGATGGGCCAGGTATTTACAGAAAGAGCAAACTAGTGATTAGTGAAATATTCTCTTAGTGGGTTAAATGGGTCATTGAGACTTGTTTGTATTTGTTTTGTTTGGAATATTTAAGATATTTTATAAACGATTTTTTTTAAACATATTTCTTAAAACTGACCGTGTCATGACAATATGGCTTGAAACAGGTAATCTGTGAAAAAGTGTGAAGGTCTCTGCCCTCTCCCAGTGTTAACTAGAAATAACCAGTCAGAGCCAGGAGGAGGGTCTAACTCTGTCAATCACACTGGTAAATGTGCTGTTCCCCATTGTCCTCTGCTGTGCTAAAGCTTCTTCCTGATAGCAGTCTGCCAGGAATGCTAAGACTAGTTAGCATTGCCAATGATAACAGTGTAGCAGCTTTTCTGGAACAGTGAGTTGCTTCTCTGTTTGCACAATGAGCAATGCATACATGAGAGAGATTGGCAGCGCTAAGCCCCTCCTCCTGACTCTCATTGGTTGTTTTTGTTGGGCAGTGGTGTTTTTCTTCAGACGGCATTAGCAGTATTTTCACAAATTGCCTGTCTCGTTTATATTGTCACAACATAGTAACAGTTTTGACAAATTTGTAAAAATGAAAGAAACATTTTAAAATAAAATCGACAATTTTGAGCTTTAACATAATCTTTCTGCTTATAGGAAGTGTAAATTGACAACAACAGGACCTTGGCAAGAAATTCCACCAATCCCACTGAGTGATGTCACGATCCTGCCTTGTGCTGCTCAGAGCAGCGTGGATACAGTTCCTGTGTGGGCCATCAGCAACAAAGGAGACGTCCTGTGTCGACTGGGAGTCACCTTGCTGACACCTGCTGTGAGTTACTAATGTGCCTAATGATACTCAATGCATCAGCCTGACACCTTATGGATATCCATAATAACCACTTCAGTGAGAGTTTTCTAACATAAAGGGTAATATTACTGTCAAAGGTTACTGTCTGCTCCCTAAACACCTTAATGAGACATTAATGGCATAAAGCCCTGGGACAAAATGACGGAACGTAGATTACAATATCCTGGTGGTCAAATGATATTTGGCTAATAGCAAGATGGCTCCAAAAATGATCAGTAATTTTGTCACTCATTATATAGAAGGTAAAATAACTATTAAACACATCACAAGTTTTCATTGTGAACATATTCTAAAGGTGCTATTGACATGAAATGTTCTCAAATAATCCATCCACAGAAAGAAACCAAAACAAGTATGTTCAACATTTAAGTTATGTATTATAATAGAAAAATGACAGAGTAAAAAAGTATTGAATACACAGAAAGGGAAGTGAAAAAAGTCATGAAGAACCAAGACACCAGCTGACATCCAGCTGTCTGTCTGTCTCGCTCTCTGTCTCTCTATCAAATTATGTTGTCTTGTCCTTCCACTTTACAATCATGCATTTCTTGGTCTGTCACAAAAAGTGCAGATGAAATACTTCTACTAGTTGTGGTAAAATGTGAAAAGGTTCATAGGGTGTGAATTATATTTTTGCTCAGTAGTAGTCGCTATGTCTTCCTGTCTGTATGTCAGGGAACCTCATGGCTTCATGTGGGGACAGACCAGCCCTTCAAGTCCATCTCTGTTGGGGCTGCCAGCCAGGTGTGGGGCGTGGCCCGGGACGGCTCTGCTTTCTACCGGGGGTCAGTCTCAGGACCGAACCCAGCAGGTCAGCAGGAGGATCTGAAACCGTCTGAAAACCATGAGCTGAACATCACAAAAAATGTCTCAGTTCTGTTAAAACACTTTAACATTGATATAAAATCAAGCCAATTAAAAGAAGCTAAATATTGCAACTTATGCTGCTTCTGATTAAAGGTAGCCTAGCGCTTAACAATCAAAGTGCTCTGTTTCCATCTGCAGGGGACTGTTGGTACCACATTCCTTCTCCGGCTAAGCAGAAGCTGAAGCAGGTGTCTGTAGGCAGGACGTCTGTTTACACTGTGGACGAAAATGGTAAGGACACTGCCTCTGGGTATAAGGTAAAACCTTCTGTACAACTTCACTGTACAGAGTGCCTTTTCTACATGTTCTCTGCTCATGTGTAGGTAACCTGTGGTACAGACAGGGAGTGACTCCCAGCTACCCTCAGGGCTCTTCCTGGGAGCACATCTCTAACAATGTCCGCAAAGTCTCTGTGGGTCCCCTGGATCAGGTGGGCTCAAGAATATTTCAGGCATTTTGTTTTGCACCAAAAAAAAAGATGATGAGAAAACTATTTGGGATGGAAAGATTTCTTTTTTACAAATAAGTTTGTTTTTTTATTTTTTTTGCTCTGTGTTTGGGGCTTGGATGAATATGTGTTTACATTTTCAGCTCTTAGCATGCACCTGTTTGTTGCTTCCTGGGTTGATTGAATTGCTTCATGTGTTTCTGTAGGTGTGGATCATAGCAGACAAGGTTCAGGGCAGCCACAGTCTGAGCTGCGGGACGGTGTGCCATCGACTCGGAGTCCAACCCATGGAACCCAAGGGACAATCATGGGACTATGGCATTGGGGTAAACTATTCAGGATGGGAGTCTGACACTAATGTCATAAACATCCAAACACTCCTAGGATATGAACCTATAATCGCTTCTTCCTTCTCTGTGTTCCCCCTCTGCAGGGCGGATGGGACCATATTACAGTGAGAGGAAACTCCATGGAGCCACCTCGGATCCATCTTCCCTCCATGACGGAGCCGTCTCGTTAAACTCCAGGATAACTTTGTAATACACTCACTTTTAAGAGACACTTTGGTTTTAGGTTTAAAGTTGTAGGCAAGTGTTATATTCAGATAAGCTGAGCCAGTCTAATATTTTACCAGATATTCAAGATCTTTAAATAAGTTTTTGTTTTCTGTGTGTTTTGTTCCTTGATAGTGGTGTTTGTATTTTGTTGCAAAGCTTGACTGATTTTTCTCAGTAGACCTAATTGTGAATTCTTTATTTTGTGTTTGTGTGTGTCAATTTCTGCAAGTCAGTTTAATGTGACAATAGAAAATGTTTCTTTTTTTATTTAATTAGGCCGCACAGTAATTGCCCATAAATTTTCTGTTGGATTTAGTTCTGAACTCTGGTCATTTTCCCAATGTGATATTATTATTGGGCCAAAACTGACTGGTATGTGAAGCTACTCTTGACAAAGACCTCTCTTAGCAAACCTAGAGCATGATGCTGCCACTATCAGTTTTAGCTTGGATATGATGTTCTGGATATTTCCTTCAGAAGAGATGTCTTCTTCTATGTTTTCTTGGAACAATATCCACATTTTTGTTTTTCTGTGGTTATTGAATGACTGCCATTGCTTTATGGTACTCAAATTAATACTTTAATTCAGTAAGATTCCATTCATCCTTTGGAACGTCCTTGCAAAACATGGATAAGAAATGACCGTTCCAAAGAAATCCACTTTGGAACAATAAAATTATTAGAGCTGAAACAGATTTATTATAATTAGCAGCAAATGTGAATTTAAGCCTTATCCATATTTATTTCACCAGGTTATTGCAAACATTTTGGAGTTTCTTTGACTCGTAGTATTTGTTTTTTACACAAATTGCAAAATATATGCATCAAATAATTTGAGGGAAAGGTTTTAAAAAGCCCATCAGAATTAATGTTTTGTTTGTCTCAACAAGCTGGCATTTTAACAGGGATGTGCAGACATTTGAGAGTTGTATATATTATAACAGGCTGGAAAAAAAGTCAAAGTTTGAATCATTTTTCTTGGGCTGCTTCTCTTTGAACTTTCTTTTTGTTGTTTTTACACCCTCTTAGCTGCACTGCGTTTCCAACTGGTTCTTCTATTTTGATAATCGGTTCAGGAACAGGAAGATTTGGTGACAAACTACAGATCCCAGCAAAGTTTATGAATTATAAGCAGCCATTTATCATCTTTTAAGCAGCAGAAAGCATGAAAAAACAAGATGGTAAGAGACACAAAACAGCCATGTGTCACAACCGCTTTCATTCAACTGTCAATGGAGCTAGCCACATTGAAATATTTTATTTTTGAGAAGTTGTTGTGGTGCGTGTGCAATATTTAGTATTATCAAAAGCAAAAAGGGCGATTAGTTGGAAAAAAAAGATGGTATTTGAAATGCTTGAACTAACCCTTCCTCTTTCTCAGGGGTGATTGCATCTGCATGTTGTTTACTTCCTTTAACCAGATGATGAGACAATGACTGAGCAGTTGTAAAGAAAAAACTATTTTGATTATTGTAAATAGAAATATAGCAAGCATTGGTAAAGTAAAGATAATGTATGGAGATGGATTTTCTGTTTCTAAGGACTGGGGTGATATATTAGGTTATATGCTTTAATAACTGGCGTAGCGACTTAAAGTCTGACTGCTGACTCATTAGTAAATGTTGATCGTGTGCTGATATGTAGCTGTTATCTGTAAATAGTAATCGTCTTGTGTAATATGATCAAGTTGTGCATCGACCAAAATGAAAAAAAGTTGGTGTCAATAAATAAATGGTTTTATTGATAGCAACTACTCAAATAGCTTTTTTCTTCTTTCCTAATTTTTTTTCAGAAACTTTGGCATAAATGGAAACAAAGGAGGAAAATAAAGAAAAACAAAACACACTTTAAAGCTGACCTTAGCCAATCTGATTATGATGCAGAAAATGCAAAGGCCTTCTCAGCTTAATCATAGTTGATTATCGGGGTCTCACAATCTTGTGCAACAAAAAACCTGTTGCTTGTTTTCTCTCTCCTTTCTGTGACAGTTGTGACCAGAAGCTTACACTCAGCAAGTTTCCTAACAAAACACACACATACACACAGGGAGATCACAAGATAGTAGAAAAAGAGAACAAAGTCATTTCAAACAGCAAAAAAAAAAAAAAAAAAAAAAAATGTTAGCAAAAGGGAGAGCCCTTCTTTACAAGTAGTTCACATTTTGCTCTGGTGACTACAGTCTTTTTCTCTGGCCACCTCAGTGTGTTCAAGCATGTTTTACAGGATTACAATGCATCACAAACATGTTCTCATCTCTTGAACAATTAATTCCACTTTTTCACTTCCAATCACAAGCTTCAATGTTTTATGAGAAAAAATGTGACAGACCAATGCAAAGTCAAAATGATGCATGGCTTTTTCAACCAGTTTTTTTTAGTAAAAAGCTGAAATGTGTGGTGTGCATTTGTATTAGGCCCATTTGAATCAGTAGTTTGTAGAACTACAATTTTGTTGCCATTATAGCTGCAGGTCTTTTCCGGCGTTTTTTTTACATATGAACTTAATGAAATTATTTCTCACCTTCATTTGCAAATGAGCTCAATGAGAGATTGAGCATTTATGAAAATTGTTTTTTAAGTCTAGGCCATGCTGTTGTTTCGCTGGCTGTAGGTTTGGGGTCACTATATTTTTAGAAGGGTGACCTTCACTCCAGGCTAAACTCTTTTTGAGGCCTTTACTTCCCACCAGCTCTGTTTAGCTTCCTTATTCCTTCCTAAGAAAAAAAAACCTTCCCACTGCATCATGCTGCAACAAGAGGTGATGAGCAGTACATTCTATTTTGTTCTTATCTGACTAGAGCAACTTCTTCCAGGTCTCCAATATGCAGGGGTGGAGCCAGACAATATTCGTAGGGGCGGCCCCTCATGGGGCAACAACTGAGCCACTTTAGAGACAACATTTATATTTTCCAACTAATTTACCAAAGAAGGAACATTTTTTCTAGAAGTAAATAAGTATACGCTTATATTTATAGATTTTTGCTGTATGAACTTATTTCACTACTGCCACCAACTGTTTTGAAAGGGAACAGCCGGGGTGACCCTTCACCTTTCACCACCCCCTGGCTCCGGCCAGACTTTTATGGCTTGTACCAAACTGGAAGCAGAACTTCTGTTTACTTTCTTTCAAAAAACACCTCCTGTGTTTCAAGGTCACCATGGTTCTGTTTTCTCATTAAAGAAACAGGATTATAACAAACTTCACTTCAAACTTCAGGTGGACTTGCTTTGGTAATCAGGTCATTTCTGAACATAACTGGGATTTGTTTTGGGGAATCAGAACAAAGGGATGTGAATAAATATTTACATGTCATTTATTTTCTGACAGCTTGGAGTTTAGACGTGAAAAAATGTGAAAAGGTTCAAGAGGTATGAAAACATTAGCGAGGCTCTGTGGGCCAGCAGTCAGTTGTTGTAGAGCGCCGCATCCAGCAGGGGGCTCTTGGTCCCAAACACTTTTACAGTCTCAGGCTGTTAACTTTCCTGGCCAAAGCTCTGCATGTGGGTGAGGTACTGGGTGAGGCCATCCTCCCCCTCTTCCTCCAGGTGCTGCTTGTAGCACTGCAGCAGCCTGGCAGCCCTGGCCCCTGAGGGCCCTGCCTCAGCAGGCAGGCAGGCTCCCGACAGGTCCAGGATGATGGTGGTCAAGGCTTTGATGTAGTTCTTGGCCAGAGTCAGAGTCTCGATCTTGGACAGCTTCTTGTCCATCTTCACGTGTGGGATGGCTTCGCGGAGCGCCTGGAAGGCGTTGTTGAGTTTGTGCATGCGCTGGCGTTCCCGCTCGTTGCTCTCCAGCCTCCGGATGCTGCGCTCCTTGGTGCTGGACCCGTACATCCTGCGCCGCCGCCCGCCTCCCCCGCCTGCTCCTCCTCCCTGACGGCGCCTGCCATCCTCGCTCCTCAGGGAGCCCCTCCAGGAGCCACCGATCCGGACCGAGGCCTCCGAGCCCTCCTGCTCGCTGGAGCCCGGCTCTGTGTCCGGTTCGTTCTCTGGCTCCGGGTCGGACCAGGGCCTTCTGGAGGGTCTCACTGCCTTCCCTTTGGACTTCATCCTGCTGCTTCCTCTCACCTCACAGTCTCCAATCAAGTCTCCCAACTTATAAAAGTCCTAGCTGCACAGACAGGAACCTTAAGACACAAAAGAAAAAGTGAGTTTAAGAATTTCACATGCAAAAGTGAAATTGTGACATTTCAGTTCTTGCCGTCCTATCTGGATCAGATCCCTAAACACCTGAGCATAGCTGATGGTCTTCTAAATTGGAGATAACTATTTTAAATAGAAATATTTTATTCTTAGTAAAATTTTGACATTTTGTTTTGAAACTTCTTCAAAGAGCAAACCATTGAAAATGGCCTTACCCTGTTGAGTCTCTTTATTTAGTCCAAGAATGTCAAGAGTAAAACCTGAACACATTTCATGTGATCCTTAATCAACACAAACTGTCTGACATTCTGTTCACGCATGACCAGCCAACTGAAGAAGTTGTTTTCATTTTGAATATATCAGCTCTTTTATGTCAAAGTCTTAAGCTGTGGAAAACATATTCAGTCACAGCCACTGCAAAAATAATTTGGAATATATTGTTAAAAAATATTTTACAACACAATACACCAAGCACAATCCCAGGCTTACGTTATTATTAATTTTGTTTTGTGTTCTAATTTTTCTTGCGATTTTACTGATATGCTGCATGCCAGACATTTATCAAGGCTTCTTCAAAAACATTTAAACATTATCGGCCTTGCGCCTTCAGATTTAGATTTTTTCCAAGAATATCAAAAGTTCCACTGTTTAGCTAACTACAATGCCTCTCATTGGGTTTCTTACTTGGTCACCGCATGTCTTCAGTGGTTCAGTAATTGCTCAGGACTTGCCCATTCCAATCACCACACTGTGTGGGAACCAGGACCAGGTGGCCTAATGGACAAGCTGTCTGACTTCGGCTCAGAAGATTGAGGGTTTGAGTCCCTTTGTGGTTGATTTTAAAGGACCAACCCAGTATTGAACTGCATGTCTCCTCATTACTCCTTGCCTCTTTCAGTAATATTCGTCAAGTAATAAAGGCCTTTGTTGAACGACAATCTTATGAAGAAATGTAGAGCTGACAATGTTATTATTCATCTAAGAATGAAATGACAAAGTGCTGTTGAGCAAGACACTTAGACGAAACCAAGGAGTCGTCAACTGACAGGCAGAATCTGGATGCTGTGCCAGTGAGTAGAAACTGGGTTTTGTTTGAAGAAGTTTGATGCAAACAAGGATTTTATTTCAGCTATGGATGCACTGAAATGAAAGTTCCACTGATAACAATATTGCATATATATCCTTGAACCAATATTAATATTACTGGTGAGGCTGATAACCAATACCAAATTGGTTATCAGCCTCCACTGACTTCATCGTTGCTTCCCTGTTTCAGTTGAGCTCCTCAAAATTCTGCACTACTTCACCATCACTGTCACATGACCAAACAAACACCACCTCCAGAAACAAATGGCAACAAGATGGAGGTAAATATCAGTTATTAATATTGGCCCTGTAGTATTCATCAGACTGATATGGATATGGAGTTAGTGCCAATATATCAAACATGTCTAATTTCTTCTAAACAAGGGGTGAGGGAGGAGGGTGAAAGTGGGGAGTTTGGTGAGGTGGATAAGAAGAGCTGGGTGTCATCGGTCAAGCATTGAATTTATGGGAAATATTGGTTAGTAATGAAAGAAGGCAAAACTTCGGGGCACAACCTGAACTAACAGAGGAAGAGAGGGGTCTGAAGGATTTGAACTTCTGGGACTGCCCCCAAAAACCAGGACTACATGATTAGTTAGGAAAACAGAAGATTTTCTAAAAATCATTAACTCTCATTTTTAAAACAGCCAAAAAAATGTTTTAACAAATCAAATCAGGTGCATAGTTACTGAAAACAGGAATTTCTTAATTAGTAAGTTGCTTTATTTATTTCTTTTAAATAGCCTAAATAAAACTCGTGACATTTTCAGATATTTTAATATTGAGGTCACTTTAAAAAACAACAACTATTGTGTGTTGAAATCGTGTAAAAGGTGCTAATTAACTGATCAGTTGGTTGGTTGAGCCCCTTGTCCAGGGGTCTTCGACTTCTGTCCTCGAGGGTCGGTGTCCTGCAGCTGCTAGATGTCTCCCTGGTCCAACACACCTGAGTCAAACGGCTGAATCACCTCCTCAATGTGCAGTCGGCTCCTCCACAGTCCTGCCAATCGCCTCATTATTTGTGTGTTGAAGTAGAGACACATCTGAACGTTCCAGCACGCCGGCCCTCGAGAACCAGAGCTGAAAGCCCCTGCCCTGCTCTGTTTACCCATTTTCAGTTTGAAAGTGCTGGGCCTGCTCCTGTCTCTGGTCTGACGGTGTGAAATCGCCATTTTATCCCTTCACATCTGAGATAATGTCAGCTTCAAGGTTGTGCTCTCGAAAACAAGGGAAGCAGCCAGCAGTGAGGTATTAAAAAAAATATATAGAGGTTTTGGCCTCTTGGGACCCAATGCTGGGTCCCTGAGAAAATCTAATTTTACACACAAACATTCATGTGTATTTAGAATGAGTTCAGCTGGAACATTTACGAGCAAAAATGGAACTTTTGTGAAATAGTTCAGTGAACATTAACCTTGCTTACATGGTTGATATATTTGAAGACATAATGTAACATTGTGCATGTCTTCTGAGTCACAATAACAAATTGTTCCACACTAGTGGAAATATATCACTTTGTTACTGTTTGATATTTCTTGTTATGCATTTTGTTTATTCACTTGTCTCTGAAACTCAACTGACAAACAACACAGAATATTCATAACGGCAGAAGAAAAACTTACCAGTCTCCAGATTTGTGTAAACTCACAGATTAAATAAAGAGAAAATGAGTCATAATGCAGACCGACTATTTTAAACATGAAGTAGTTTAACTCTGAGCTCTGAAAGCCTTGCAGAAAACTGTCACTGGGAGTTTTACATAGATTAGAGCGCTTAATAATAAAAGTTACACAGTGTGACCCTCCAGATATCTCTCCGTCACTGTGGAGCTTCTTATTTCCCTAACCTCAGTTTGCAATCACCGAACGGCCAAACCTCATGAAGCAACTCCAGCCAACGGCTCACAGAAAGGAAACAAACAAAACGGCCCTGAAGGTTAGAGAGAGAGAGAGAGAGAGAGAGAGAGAGACAGAGGGCTGAGGAGACTTACCGCTGAGCGTCTCCTCAAAATCACTCCGTTCATAAACCAGCAGCAGAAAGTCGCAAAGGAGCGGAGAGAAGCTGCGGAGCGTCACCGCGGCGCGGAGATAACTGCCACATGTGCGCTACCTGCAGCTGACTGATGTACACGTCGCGCTGCTCAGCCAATCAGAGAGCCAGCTCACTCAGCCCGGTCCGCCCGGGCAGCAGTTACCAGGCCGCTGACCCGACAGCGGCCTGGTAACTGCTGGCGGGTGTTAAAGCTGCTGGCGGGTGTTAAAGCTGCTGGCGGGTGTTAAAGCTGCTGGCGGGTGTTAAAGCTGCTGACCACCGCAGCGTTTATGTTTATTTACAAATGTGTCCGGATAATGAGAACACAACTGTGCGAAGAAGTTTTGATTTCCACAAATTCTAATGTCTCAAAAAGTCTTAAGGAGGAACAAAGGTTTGTATTTGTGTTTATGTTAGTTGATGACGTCACAAAAGATTGGAGAATTCAGCTGGCATTATTAGAATTTGTAAAGTGGAACTGTGATCTCGGTCATACTTCATTTATTTATGTATTTATTTATTAATTTATTTATTTATTACCTCCAGTTGTTCTAGGCTTTACTTTCATAAATGGGAGCTGATTAGCACCACAAAACTCAAATACCAGAACAACAACCTGAGTGCTTAAGGTGTTATAATGGAGGCTTCCTGGATGCAGAGCAGGACCAAAGAGCAGAGCAAGAAGCTGGATGTTTTCTGCTCTTGGTACTTTAACCATAATGCAGAAGCTAGACAAGGATCTGAAAAGAAGCATCAAAAGCAAATGAGGTGGATTAGCAGTGCTTGCCAATAACTCCTCCTTTCCCAAGATGCATCCTGTCATGAATGATGCACCTCTGCTACGACCAGAATGCTAACATTCCTGTTGCAATATGTAGTTTTCTGTGTGTGTGACCTTTACCAAGTCAGTAGATCTTTTAACTGCCTGGTGAATAGGATGCATTTGTCTTACTTGTTCTCTGTGATGTCAATTGGAATGATGAAGATGATGTATGACACAATGAAAAGGTTATTATGCTGCTTCAGCAACATCATTAAAGAATGCACATCATTAAAGAATGCACATGTACAGAGTTGATTAGATCACGATTAGTTAAGGTTGTACAACAATGCAGCAACAACAAACTCAGAAATCAATCATTAGAGGTTGTTCTGTAACTTCATATTCACTACTAAATAATGTAATTCGCCACTTTTTTGTTTTCCAGTAATCTCTGTGAAATGGGTATTTACTGTTGCATTCAGTGAACTTTTGACTTCACATGAACTTTTCAAGAGCTACAAACAAAACAATACACGTTTTTATTCCCGTTGAACTATTTACATGTAAGTAGAATATTATTAGAAATATTACACTTACATGACTTAAATGAACTCATATTGCTTTGAAACACACAACTGTACATGAAATCCTGCTGAAGCAGAGTTGAGCTCAGCTTTTCAGGGAGGCTTGTTGAGTACAGCAGTTAACATAATTTCCATTGTGGGTTTATCGCCTTCCACTGTTTCATTTGAATAGTCTTCCAGGCTCCACCTGCAGCCCAGAGGTAGAGCATTTGAAGCCATGACACAGTATTTGCCTTCCCTAACTTTTAGGACATAATCACTTCTGTAATAAATGTGTAATGCCAACTAAAACAAGCTCTTGAAAACCATTAGAAGTGTGAGCAAACATACCAAGTGATTAATTAAATGATTACCTATTTGAGGAATCACTCATCTAATCCCCTTCCTCTCAGGAATGTGTTTTCTGAGTTAATTGTCCATTGTCTTTTTTACCTGCTGGCAGCTGTTGGCAGTTGGGATTATTATCTCTGGTGTTGATAAAGCGCTGAAAAAACTGAAAAGTATCAGTTACGATTAAACCGTTAAACACACTCAGTTAAACTGAGCGTGTACTTAAACAACCTGATGACATCTTTATGGTGGCATCTGCAATAGCACATGGATAAAATTTAAAAACTATAAATAGGATAATAAAACAGCTAAGCTCATTTTCCATCCAGCACCTTCACTGTTTGGATTATTTGTTATTGGCATCCCAACTTTACTTTAGGGGAAGTCACCTTCTGATTGTCCACACCCCACCCAGTCTACGTATATGATGTCACAGTGTTTTCTTAGCAGATCCACCCATCAAACAACGCAGTTAAAAAGCAGATGACAAAAAGCTGGAGACTTTAAAACGGTTGTGAACCTATAAGTTTGATCACAATCACCGTAAGCATGAATGGCCTAAAAACCTGCCGTCTTTGCAGAGACATGATTCCAGGTTGAGAAGAATGGAAGTGCAGGAGGGCAGTAGTTGGAAGGCAGATTATAAATGATGACAAAATCCAAACTGAAAAAAGGGTGAGGAATCCTGAGGGCTGAAACATCAAGCTAGCACAGATAACCAGGAGCTAAGAGGACAATCTGACAGAGTTGATGAAAGCATGATGCTTTTATGGGTTTTATGAAACAAACCAACTGACATCTGAATGTTTTAGTTAAATTGGTTCAAGTGTGATGTGTTAGTCCTGCCATGTGGCTGGACACCATATGCTGTTCAACCAAACCTGTCATACCTACGACTTTTCATTGTCATGTATGTGTTGCCTCAAGTTTTATTATTATAAAAGACAGGTCAGATTAATGCAAGAAAGTTACGCTTGTGACTGAACCAGTCACTCCTCCCCCTATGACATAGTCATCATCTTCATCATCATCATCGTCATCAGCAGTCTTCTGAGGTGTTTTCAGCTCAACTCGACGCAGCAAACTGCCCACTGCCAGTTGCAAAGCAACGAATCCAAGAGAGGCATTTATTTTCCTTGATGTTGATTTAAATAAGCAACATAAATATATGTTGTAAATCCAGAGGCTGCCAGAGGTGAACAGTAATTCCAGTGACTTGCATGTATTTTATGAATGGAGAAAAACAGGACGAGTAAAATGAAGGCCGAGTTTGTGATTTCACAGCTGTGGGGCTCCCAGCTCTCAGAAGCAAACAGCAACTTTTGGCTTGGATGACCTTGAACAAACTGAGTGAACATGTGCATAAGTGTGGGCTGGATGACACGGGGTGCCAATATGTGTTCTACAACCAGTCAAGGTGTGGGAACATACACCTGTTTACACAGTAATGTTGGAGAGACCCATAGGACCTGCTACAAAGTCTTTACTAAATGGGAACTAGTTTCAGTTTCACCAGATTCTGAAGAATTCTGTGAGGTTCTCGTGTTTCTGTTCATGAAGAAATGAAGGAATATGTTTGTTTTCTGATGATCCCAAACTGGTCCTGCCAGGTTTCCTTCCCTCCTCAGTTACACCACATCTGGTCAACCAAACCTCACCCAACGTTGGACGATAGAAACATTATCTGTTGCTTTTTTTAGTTTGCTCAGTTTCTGCTTGCATCGGCTTACACTGTTTGTTTTGCAGCAGCAACTGATAAATTCTGAGCTGAAGAGCACACTTCAGCGATGAGGCAAGCTATTAGGCCTTTCACACAACTTTGCTGCTGAAACAAACTGGTTCTATCACTGTGACTGTCCTGGGATTCCTTCTGAAAGCTTGAATGTTTGATTCAACCTTCATAGTTTGGTCAGCAACTGGAAAGGCCCCAGATCCGTTATGTAACTACATCGTATTGAACTGTGTCACACGCTGTTTGCTCGTGTTATACTAATGGCAGTGAAAGCTGAATGCACTGTGCCACATCCCTACGTAGGATGTGATGTCATCAACTGTAAGTGCTTTGGAGCAAAGAGAGGGGAAAGCAGCAGCTGAAATCCCTGACTCATAAAAGGGGAGGGAGAAGTGGGGGGTGAGCGGGTGCAGGTGAAGGAACTGAGATCTGCATGATTACTCAGGTTTTCCGTTTGGTCAAGGCTGACCCTCTGTCAGAAAAACAACAGTGGATGTCACATGAGGCCATGGTGACAGTTGGGTGGCCCTTGGGTGAGGAGAGGTGGCTTTGACCACTGTGTCATCAAATTACCACAGAGCTCAAATTATATATATGTGTGTGTCTGTGTATGTGTGCGACACTCACACTTTGTGTCATAGCTCAAGGTCTGACTCGGTGACATAGGTGAGGAACAGGCAAGTTTGGGTCAGAGAGCAGCGCTCTGGCCTGGCCTGAGAAGTCCAGCTGTTAGTCGGCAGAGACACGGTGCCAGATCGTTGAACACACTCCAAAGCTGAGAAGTCATCTTCCCACTGCAACCCTGAAGCCGTGAACAACATTAGCAGTTAATAAATGTAATTTTGTGATTACTCGAAAGTTTCTTGAAGTGTTAAAGGGGCGGTATTATCTAAAATCAACTTTTTGAGCTTTACTTCATGTTATAATGTCATTCCCTCATTAAAAAACATACCTAGCGTATTGCTTTGATTCTTCCATTTTGAAATCTATTACAAGAAATCTATTCATCTCCCGTGGCAGTCACTCTGCTTGCAGAAGCAAGTCCTGTGACCAGGCATTGCCTTTTGCACAAAGCTCCTCCTCAGTGCTGCAGTCTCCAAGCTGAGCTTCTGCATTACACAGCATCTCTCCCCGGCAACACCTCCACCCTGCTCCTCCAGACTAGCGGCAGCAGCAATTAGCAAACACCTGTTAGAATTGTGCGTCTGCTGAGCTCATCATACGAGCTACATCGCCATGAAACGAAACGCTGGTAAAAATGTAATTATATGCTTGATAAAGGAGCTTTGTGGTGATGATGCGCTGAAGGCAGAGTGTCGCAAAGAGCAAATGTCAAAAATATTTAATTTCTCAACAAATCTGAAGACAATGACAGATTTTGCAAAGATGTTGGCTGACAGAGCGTGATTATGCAGTCATGTCAGTCATCTAGAAAATATGTGTTATAAGAAGTTCAGTGTAAGCCGATGTTTCTGGAGGAATGGGTCAATATTCCACCGAACGACTGTGAGAATATTTGACCAAAAACAGTCGTTTTAGAAAATAGTTGTTTCAAGTACTGATAGTAATGTTTGTAAACTTCTGAATATAAAGTGCTTATTATCCTTGAATTCTACAAATTTAATTGATTTCTGTGATCCTAACTGACCTGAGGCAGCAAAGGGTTTTTTAAAAAAAATCAAAATAAAGGTCATAAAGTTAGAAAAAAAACGTTGTGTCAAATTTCTGTTTTCAAATATGCATATGTATGTATGTATATCAATTTGGGCATAATTAGGATATGGTGTAAGTCTTACCATTGTCCTCTAATATAACATCAGACTGGATGCTGGGAAAATGGAATGGCAGAGAAGTGGAGGGTTCTGAAGGCAGCTTGAGAGTCGGTGTCTCCTAAGAATCAACAGTTGATTGTCAAAACATAGACAAAAAAAAAACAACAACAAAAAAAAAAAACAGGACAATTATGGTTGATTTTACAAGATAACCCCAGAATAGACGTGGAGGTTGTTCCTCTAATCCAAAGCTTTCACGCCTTTTTTAAAGGATCAGTGTCAAACCCTAAAGACTAAACTCAACTCCTGATATGTGTTGCAGGGCAACAGTCACCTCCACATGTTTTAAACACCATGACCAGTTTTCCATCTGTGTCACATGACCTGCTCTGTGGGCTGTGCTGACCAGACAGACGTCTCTCAGACAGCAGCTGAAATATTAAGCACTCATTTTATGATGTCCAACAAAAAGAGAGAAATGAAGAAATCTCTCCTCAATCCTCCCCTGAACCTCCAAACACAACAAACTAAAACTGTGCTGAAAAATGTTTCAATTGGTAATGAGTAATGTCAAAATAGTCAAAACATGCTAGCGTTGGTCGAGCACGTCAACGAACGTTCTCTACATCACCTTTGAGAAACAAGAAGCTCACACAAACTCCAGTTAGAACAGAAAACTGTTGTGTTAAAGACTTTTGCTAATTATTTATTTAAGAAAAATAAACTGGAGGACAAAGAATGATTGATCATTACCTGATCAAACAGGTAGACGATGACATCCTCTTCAAAGGAAACACTTTTCTTTATTTTTGTTTTCTCATTTTTACTCCTCCTCCGTGGTCTTTGTGAATGATCATCACTTTGACGGGTTTTCTGACGGATCTCAGGGTTCCACGTCCTAAAGCTGTCCATGTCTCTGTCCTCGCCGCTCATCTTGAGACAAAAAGATCTTTGTGCGTTGTCATGTTTTACAGCAGACATCTTGCTATTTCTTCCAGAACTTCCTCTATGTCTAATAAATGTCCTCAGATTCTGAGAGGAGTAAATGTGGTATAATTTACTTGTTGTCATACAATTATCAGAAAAAATGACGAGTCTGTTGAAGGAATCCATGACGATGGCATGCTGCTGGGTTGCTTCATTCAAAAAGTTCTTAATCCAATAAAAAATGTCCGCCATATGGAAAGTGGTTCCTTCCTGGTTGGCCTGGCTTGGTAAACCTTTGATGATGGGATCTATTGACCTCAGCTGTCCACTGAGCTCCGATGGGGGACAGATGTATTGGGGGAAATAAAATTGTGATGAAGCAAGCCAATCTGATGTGTGCGTAGTGTTTCTCTGTGAGTTAGGGGCTGACCACTCCGTCCAATCAAGAACACAGATGCAGGAACCCACTTCATGGTCCTCACACTCCTCTTCATTCCTGCATCAATGATTCAGGGCATCCACAGGGCAGTTTCAGTACACCTGAAGATATACTGATTCACAATGATACATTAGTGATATTACAGGTAGAAAGGAGAGAACTGTTACTTTATAGGATAAAGAGGGCATGCTTTGTGCAGGTGCTCACTGACTGGAGGAGAGATAATCTCAGAATCACACACAGGAGACATCTGAGGAGACTTTCTACTAAATGTCTGAACGACAGAGATTTGCCAGTTGTTGCACATTCTGCACACAAACGCACTCATGCACACTTATGGGTCCATTATTGGGTCTTTCAGTCCCAGGCCTGAATAAATATCGGCAGTCTTCCATCTGCAGAGACAAAGACGCAATAGGAAACTTTTACTGCTCTGCAGTAACCAAGCAACCGTTGGACAAGTGACTCAGGAAAGGAAGAGAGGAGCTGACTCACAGCAGCTGTGACGTAAAGGGATGTAAAAGGAGACACACACACACACAAACACACACACCTGGGAGGAGGATAAAATCTGCCTGGTTCAGGTAAATTAACACCTCACTGTGTAACAGGTGAAGGGGTTCAGGAAGAAGAGAGAGAAAGAGACCTTTCCAAACAACCAGTTAAAAAAGTGACACACTGTGGTGGCATAAACAGCAAAAGATACAGCTCACTCTCTAGTGTCCTCATGCACAAATCCAGTCATATGCACGTGAAATTACCTTCTTTTAATTTTGTCCAGGCTGCATTTCCTCTTTGAAAACAACTTGTCCACTGAAATCACCAGGGCAGCTCCACCCCTGCTGTAGTTCAGCTCTGAAAACGCAGAACGTGTTCAAATCTGCAGCTTCATCAGTTTGCACAACATACTGCAGCAAAGTGGCTCTGCTGCCACAAACAAGATAAAGCAGCAGCTTTTTCACAAACACATCCTACCTTGCATCCTTCAAAGCTCAGTCTTCGTCCAGCTTTTACCATGCCGTGGCACATCCCGTCTAGTTTCCTGCAAAAGACGAGGCAGAGCAGACAGAGGAGACAGAGGAGATACTCTGAAAATGAAAGGGAGGAGGGCAAAGAACAGCGAATGTAAAGATGAGATGAAAACGGTGTGAGGACAAAGAAAGGACAAAGAGCTTACATATCCGTCTCTCCGCCAGCAGGTTCCTGGCCTTTCTGTAGCAGAGCACCGGATGCAATCAATAACCTCAGCGCTAATGTAACAGAGTCCAGTTATAACCCCAGAAAATGTGGTAGTCTTATTTTCTATTTGGAAATAGACATATAAATTGACAAAGTGAAAAAGTTAATAAAATAAATTGACTTTTCAATGAGAATTTTTTTTTTAATGTATCTCTTTTTCTAGTTCCCACCAATCACTCAACCCACTCGTGGCCTCACACCCTAGACTTCCCGTTTAGTCTTTGCTCTGAAAGTACTTTCCTCAACAGATCTTTCTGGTATTTGAGTTTAGCACTAAGTTTACGATTATATCAAACATCTCATCAAGTTGTCTCATTAAGTATTTTTGTAGTTCGATTTTCCAATTCAGGTTCCATAGATTTGACCTGACACATGCACTTTGCTTGACTTGTGGAAATCACAGTGTCCTTGGAATAACACTGCTTTTCCAAGGAAGCTACCTTGGAACTGTCCCATCTTGCCATCCATCCATCCATCTTCTGCCACTTATCCAGGTCGGGTCGCGGGGGAAGCAGCTTAAGAAGGGAGGCCCAGACTTCCCTCTCCCCAGCCACTTCCTCCAGCTCCTCCGGGGGAATACTGAGGCGTTCCCAAGCCAGCCGAGAGACATAGTCCCTCCAGCGTGTCCTGGGTCTTCCCCGGGGCCTTCTCCCGGTGGGACGTGCCCGAAACACCTCACCAGGGAGGCGTCCAAGAGGCATCCTGACCAGATGCCCGAGCAACCTCAACTGGCGCCTCTCGATGTGGAGGAGCAGCGGCTCTACTCTGAGTAGATTATGATGATGATAGAAACCCATTTTGGCCGCTTGTATCCGCGATCTCGTTCTTTCAGTCATTACCCAAAGCTCATGACCATAGATGAGGGTTGGAACGTAGACCGACTGGTAAATCGAGAGCTTCGCTTTTTGACTGAGCTCTCTCTTCACCACGACGGACCGGTACAGCGCCGCTTCACGGCAGACGCTGCACCAATCCGCCTGTCGATCTCACGCTCCCTTCTTCCCTCATTCGTGAACAAGATCCTGAGATACTTAAACTCCTTCACTTGGGGCAGGACATCTCCCTCGACCCGGAGAAGGCACTCTACCCTTTTCCGACTCAAGACCATGGTCTCGGACTTGGAGGCACTGATCCTCATCCTGGCCGCTTCACACTCGGCTGCGAACTGTTCCAGCGAGAGCTGCAGATCACGTCTCGATGAAGCCAATAGGAACATCATCCGCAAAAAGCAGAGACGCAATCCTAAGGCCACCAAAACGGATCCCCTCAACACCTTGGCTGCGCCCAGAAATTCTGTCCATAAAAGTAATGAAAAGAATCGGTGACAAAGGGCAGCCTGGCGGAGTCCAACCCTCACTGGGAACGAGCCCGACTTATTGCCGGCAATGCGGACCAGACTCTGACACCGGTCATACAGGGACCTGACAGCCCGTATCAAAGGGCCCGGTCCCCCATACTCCCAGAGAACACAGGGCACCCCGAGGGACACGGTCGAACGCCTTCTCCAAGTCCACAAAGCACATGTAGACTGGTTGGGCGAACTCCCATGTACCCTCCAGGACCCTGTTGAGGGTGTAGAGCTGGTCCAGTGTTCCACGACCAGGACGAAAACCACACTGCTCTTCCAAAATCCGAGGTTCGACTATCCAACGGACCCTCCTCTCCAGTACCCCCGAATAGAGGCTTAAGAGTGTGATCCCTCTATAATTGGAGAACACCCTACGATCCCCCTTTTTAAACAGGGGGACCACCACCCCAGTCTGCCAATCCAGGCGAACTTCCCCCGATGTCCATACAATACTGCACAATACTGCAGAGTCGCGTTAACCAACACAACCCTACAACATCCAGAGCCTTAAGATACTCCGGGCGAATCTCATCCACCCCCGGGGCCCTGCCACCGAGGAGCTTTTTAACTACCTCGGCGACCTCGTCCCCAGAGATTGGAGAGCTCAGTCCCCAGGCTCAGCTTCCTCAATGGAAAGCATCTTGCCCTTCGATAAATTCAGCAAAGAAATTCAGGTCGATGTGAGGTTCTGGTTCAGGGAAGACTTTCCTCTGCTGGGTAAAGCTGCCTCATTACTTGGTTTTTCCGGCAGAGGACCGTTATTGACGTCACCATTTTGTGTCAAAACCGTTAGATCCACACAAGCATCTGACTCGGGGAAAGATTTCCATAATAGTGGCGTCTTCTTGATGCGCTTCGTCTTTGTTCTCTGTTTCTCCCTTTTTTCATCCACTTTCTTCTGGGATTTGGAAATGGATTTCTGTTTGGTGACCAGCTGTGTAGAAATCACAGATTCTTCTTTACAAGACTCCTTTTTCAAGGAATCTTTCTGATCACCTTCTTCAGGTAGAGAAGTGTCCTGCTTATTAACACTTTCAGCACAAGACTTAAAGGACTGTTCCTTCTCTGGTGTCTCCTGCAGTACGGAGATCGATTCCTGTTTGGTAACAATTGAAGCGTCTTCCGATCCAGTACTTTCAGCTGCAGTCCTTAGATCAGCAGGTCCATGTTTCTCCAACCAGATATGAAATGGTATCTTTTTCTTCTTGTGGCGCCTGGTCGTTGGTGGCTGTTCCTTAGACTTAGAGGGCTGTTCCTTCTCTGCCATATCGATCGTCTCCTGCACTCTAGCGATGGACTCTTCTTCACTCACCAGTGACTCGTTCTGCTTTTCAATATTTCCTGCAGAAATCTCTTGGTCAACAGGGACGTGTTCCTCCAAGCAGGTTTTAAATGGTACCTGCTTCTTCTCATTGGACTCACTCTCAGGTGTCGGTCTGTCTCCTTGTTGATCCACTGTCTCCTGTGCTTTGGCAATCGATCCTTTTTCAACCACCAGTGAAGCGTCCTGCTGTTTGATATTTTCAGCAGAAATCTTTAGCTCCTCAGGTGCGTACAGCTCCCACCACACTGCAAATGACACCTTCTTCTTCTTGCGCTTGGGTGGCTTGGGTGGCTGTAATTCCCTTTCGACAATATTGTTGAATTCAACCTCTTCGACTCTCGGCTGGTTGGACTCCATTGTAACCTTTGCTTGTTTCAGGTTCTACGATAAATCACTTCTCTAGAAACGCAGTAAAGATTTGATGTCAATCTCCAAAAGAAATGAGCACCAAACAAAGTTGGAAATCTTACTGTGAACTGCGAAATAAATTCTCAAGAGACAAGTATCACCAACGGCTGCTAAACGCTTGTGATGAAAGTAGATCTATGTGAGGAGCTTATAATCATTGGTGATGTCAGAATTCTGCTTTTGGAGTTATGTTGTTATGTCACATTGTGATGTCAAAACTGAGTGATAAAATAAGTTATGCTACCCAGGGGAGCCATATAGGGGGGAAAATTAGGATAATTCCAAGGGCCCCTGACCAACAGGAGGCCCTCAACAATTTTTTTTTTCATAGAAATTAAATAAAATGGGGCCCGATCAATTACAAAATTAATCATATTGTGTTTTCTAAACTAGTTTTTATCAGTAAAAATGAAATGCTGGCTCTCTCAGACCAAAAAGCACACATCCATATTTGCACTGAACCTCCTGATCTGCATAAAATGGTTCGTTCCTGCTCAGCAGAAGTCAGTAGAAGACAAGAACGACTGTGGAGATCATTTGCTACTAAAAAAACTGAGAAAATCAAGTATTAAAAAAATTGAGAGATAAGAGAGAAAAAGACAAGAGAGTCAATTTATAAGCCAGTTTTTCTCTGAGGTGGGTCGACTGTGTGAGATGATCAACCATTCAGCATAGTTAGTTTAGCACAGGGTACTGTATGCCTCCATTTCACTAGCATTTAATGAGTTAAGGAAAATAATTACCAAGATATTCATATATTTAACTTGTCCCTGCACCTTTTACCACTTAACAACAGATGAGTCAGTCAGCAGCAGCTCTAGTTCACGACCCTCCTGACCTGTCCTCTAAGTGAAATTAAAGCTGCAGTATGAAACTTTAAAAAAAATATATTTTTTTTACATAATTGTTGAAACTGATATTATATTGTTATAGTACAGCCTGAGAGATAATCTGTGAAAAATTTATTTCCTCTGCCTTCTTCCAGTGCTATCTAGAAACAACCAACTGAAACGCTTGCTTAGTTACTTAAAAAAGATTTTTAAAGCAGAAATGTTTTTAAGTTTTTTTGAAAACATACTTTCAATCTGACAGAGGTTTTACAAGGTTTAACAGAAGTAAAACCTTGAAAACATCAGTTTGTGGTATTAATCCACATATCTTTCACTTGGAGAATAGACTTATTGAAATATTTTTATTTTTTGAATATGAGTCCATATTCAATGCAGTACCTGTAGATATTTATCAGTAAGCATTGGCTCCCTCTTGAGGTTATGATTGAGAAATGGCAGAAATGCAGCTGTCAAACAACCTAAATATACACCTTGGATTATGGGTATATAAGTTTTTTCTGCTTTGTATTTATTTTCTGATAACTTGCCAGCTACTAATACCGAATATATTACTGCCCCTTTTGGTTACGTACTTGTACAATAAATCTGGACACTTGTTCCACTCAAGTTTTATGCAGATTTTGTCCTTCTGCTGGCAACAAAATCACTGATGCTGGAGTTTTTGCTTCACACACCCAGACAACATCAGGATGTTGTTCCCAGAAGGAAACAATGTCACTTTTCAGTCCATTTCTGGTTCCCAGTGAGGGCAGATGAACGAAAACAAAGGAAATGCTTAGAAAAAGAGAAACAAGGAGATGGACAGATGGTGGAGTTACTTCTTTCAGTTCCCCCTCCCATATTCAGACATGCGTCCTTCCTCTGCAATGAATCCCAAATCGGGACAGCGAATGCTGGACCCAGACGCACACGTGGAGACTGAATGGACGTGTTCTCGTCTGTTTCCTGGTCTGCTTTCATATCAGAGCTGTGATGGATGTGTCCAGTGTGAGGATCTCATAATCTGATATGCCACCGGCTTTTGAATCCAAATGTCAGATGAATGATTGATACTTCTTTGGTTTCAGAACTGTGCCCCAACGAGTGTGCAGCTCGTTGCTATGGGTTACTGTTTATTTGATCAGTCAGCTCC